CAACCCCTATTTTTAATAGCGATATTCTTACAAATATTATAAATGCTAAAGTAACTCAGTCTGTCTGTTTGTCTCGCTTTCACGCCAAAACTACTGAACTGATTTAATTGAAATTTGGTAGACAGATAATGTAGACCCTGAGAAAGGCTACCTTTTAATGCGAAAAAGTATTGAAAGGGGAAATGAAAGGCTATATGAGGATATCGTAATTTTTAAAGTTAGATCTTGTAAGATTAAGTGAACAGGGTTGGTCTAGGTTTTTCATTATTAGAAATGTTTAACGGGGTAACACGTTATTTAGTGCGAAATTGTGTATATTACAATAAAATTTAACGAGAAAATATTATAATGATGTCACTGGGACACTCATTGCCTTACTACTATATCGTCCGTTAGTCGCGAACTTTCTGGAAACACGAGAGGCGCGCTCCTATTGGTTAGTAGATGAGGTAGACGAGTCTCACGGCGCCGCAGCGTAAGTACTTACTATACATACGTAGTATACATATGGGTGTTACAAATGTTTTTATTACGAGTAATATTACTCTGTTATCTAAGCAAGTAATGTGTGCTTATTTTGAACTTGATAACATTCTGAATTACTCGTATATCTTTCAATATCTTTAGCGGTATAAACCAGGTTATGTACTACTACTAGTATTGTTAGTGAGGGATAAAGTTGATGAACAAAAATAAAACAATATTCGTATTAAAAATATATTCATCTAATATTTTTGGCATTATTTTTAAGTTTCTTCCAAATACAAGGGGTCTGACATGGGGTGTTATGTACCTACATTAAAAGATACTTTTTGAAATGTATGTACCTACATTAAAAGATAATTTTGAAATGTATGAAAGAAATGTATGTACCTACATAAAAAGTTCATTTTTGAAATGTATGAAATGTATGAAAGAAATGTACGTACCTACATTAGAAGATAATTTTTGACATGTATGAAATGTATGTACCTACATTAAAAGATAATTTTTGACATGTATGAAATGTATGAAAGAAATGTGTGTACCTACATTAAAAGATAATTTTTGACATGTATGAAATGTATGAAAGAAATGTATGTACCTACATTAAAATATAATTTTTTAAATGTATGAAAGTAATGTATGTACCTACATTAAAAGATAATTTTTGACATGTATGAAATGTATGTACCTACATAAAAAGTTCATTTTTGAAATGTATGAAATGTATGAAAGAAATGTATGTACCTACATAAAAAGTTCATTTTTGAAATGTATGAAATGTATGAAATGTATGAAAGAAAGTGTGTACCTACATTAAAATATAATTTTTGAAATGTATGAGATGTATGAAAGAAATATATGTACCTACAAGTTCATTTTTGAAATGTATGAAATGTATGAAAGAAATGTATGTATGTACCTACATTAGAAGATAATTTTTGACATGTATGAAATGTATGTACCTACATTAAAATATAATTTTTTAAATGTATGAGATGTATGAAAGAAATGTATGTACCTACATAAAAAGTTCATTTTTGAAATGTATGAAAGAAATGTATGTACCTACATTAAAAGATAATTTTTGACATGCATGAAATGTGTACCTACATTAAAAGATAATTTTTGACATGTATGAAATGTATGTACCTACATTAAAATATAATTTTTGAAATGTATGCACCGTACAATAACAATACACGTTAAACATCATACCACAGAGTCATACGCAAGTTAAAAACAAACTGCTATGATATATTAATGAGAAAGGAAAATCAACTTTATGGTATTCGAGTTAGGGTCGATTTCTCTCTTTTTTTAAATACTATTTTAATCTTACCAGTTGCCAGTATTCGAAGACAGCTACGATTCGTACTCGATATTTTAAATTATTATGTAATCGATTATTCAGTACAAATGTAAATAACCAACGACACTAATAATGTACTACTATATTCCGTTCTTTGAAACGGAACACTGCTATAATACATAATAATGAAAATTTACTGTTCACAACGACTCATTAAAAGCATCATCGAATAATGCGCTGTAATAAAATCCTGTTATCGATTATTCAAAAAAATCGATAATACATGTATTTATTTTTAATATGACAACACTTCATACATAAGTATTATTGGAAATAGTATTACTTGCTTGTTCGGCTATTTTTAATTTACTTAAAAATTTTTTATATGTTTAATTTACAATAATAATATATTAAGTGCTTATTATTGGAAAATATAAAAAAGACATTTAATTAGGCCGATACAAATGACGACAATGCCATCTATGAAAGCATTTTGAAAACATTGAGCCCCATATTAGCACTGATTAAAGTGTAATTAAGTACTGGAAAATAACAAAATGAGTAAATATATGAAAATTACTTTTCTAAACGCATTATTTCATTTTAACATGTATATATAACTTTTTAAAAATTGATTAAACATTTTTGAAAACACAGTTTTGTTTTTTAAAACGTTTGCAAAACTATGAAGAATTCCATCGATACCAATTACGCCATCTATATGCAACTTTTAGCAATAATAATGGCTACTTCCTCATTGAGTGCCACTGGTATTACTCTTTATTGACAACCATGTCATAAGTACATTAAGTATGACGGCCTCTGTGGTCTTGTGGTTAAGAACCACTTTACTTCTGATGGTCGCAAGTTCGATTCACGCAGTACACACATTTGTATTCAAGATTGTTTGTTGGGATGGGTGTTCTCTATGTATATAATCTGAAGCATTAAAGTTTTAATAAAGAAATAAGAAATATCAATGACCATGTATTATTTTCAGTAATCTAGGAATAGTTCTTTTGAACGCGCCGCGTTAAATATAGCTATGGCTACGAGGATATACTATATTATTATTAACTATATATATATGTATATATATATATATTCTCGATCGACGAGGATAAGTAGTACTTTATCCTTAATACTATATGTTTTTAAATAATATTTATCATAGTATTAGTAACAATTTCTTAAAATTGTATGTTTATTATTAACTACATTTATAAATACATTAATTATATTGAATGACACCCAAATATAGGACATTTACTGATAAGAAAAGTTTCATATTACATACAGAAGCGTATAGCGTGTCTTGGTAGGGCCTATATAAAAAGATTGCAGGCCCTTACGAAGGGTATAAATTTCTCACAAAAGAAAAAAAATTGCATAAAATTAAAGGAAATATTTATTCATCCTAATCTGTAATTTGTCCAAAATTTTTAAAAACAATTCAAATAAAGTATACGCTCTCCTTGCCTTTTTTTCGGGAAACTGAGTTATTAAATCATTTATAATGCTTCTTATTAGTTCGTTTCATTTGTGAAAAAAAAAATTTAGGAAGTATATTTTTGCTTATGCACGTTGGGGGAGCCTGAGGCCCGATGGTCCCGTATAATTGATACGGTAGATACCTATTGCGGTTTCTGGTTGCGGATCACAAATATTGTCATTGTGCGGGAACTGAACATCGTACATCGATTGTAAAGCAGTAGGTAGTGAATATGATCATTTAGACATATATTGAAATTCATACAAAAAAATACATAATTTTAATAATATTATATTATACCTATATAGATAAATTATTCACCTATGTCAAGACTAATATAAATAACAGGCAAGTATTTTAGTCTGTCTGACCTTTTCACTAAACATCTGAATGAAGTTTAATGAAATATGTCATATCACAAAGATAGAGACCAAATCATATCTCAAAAAGCAGACAAAGTCGCAGGTAATAACAAGTAAACAACTACTACCCTTGCTCAATCATCAATGACCCATTTCAAATGCACACCGTGAAACTTAATATTACTCCCCATTTCCCTATTTCCGGGGAGAAATAGCAGCGACCTATTGCCCTGACTATTTCGACTCCAACGTTCATAGCATGCATGTAACAATCAAATATTTGTTCAAGTATAATTTGATCGCTGGACGTAGACTTATTGTTTGTGTAGTTTTGTAAGGCAATTTTGTATGTACGCTGAAACGGTTTTCCTATTGTGAAATGTTTTCAGGAGCTATTCAGGTCAGTTGTAATTGAGCAGCAGTGACGGTAGAGTTTCGTGTTTGTTGATAGGCACAGTCCATAATCCAATGAGAATGAATGGATGTAAAAAACGTATACATACAATACGTGAAGCCAAAATGTTGTACCTCTTTTTAAGACTGCGCGGACTGAGAAGTGTAAAGATTCGCACACTTATAAATGAATAAATAAAAAAAATCTTTACTTTGTCTATGAATCACTATTATTATTATTATATAGTATAAAAAAGTCGTAATAATTAATTTTTAAAGGTAAATTTTTCTTGGTCATTTTTCTTGTCATGAGTCTTCGTTCTACATAGAAATGGTTTGTTTTTTGATAATTTAAGAGCCACTCTCCTGTCGGTGAACGTCTTGGCACTTTCCAGGATCTTCCAACATCCTCTTTAAATGTTGACACGACTTCAATTTTGTCTGTGCTGTTTGGTAGAAGAAAAAACATGTTAATTCGAAAGTTTCTTTTTATTTGTTCATTTCAGGCTACTAGAGTCATTTTATAAATACCTTATAGATTATTAATAATAATCTCAGGACAATTCACACAGCGCCATCTAGACCCAAGTAAAGTTTTGAGGTAAACTTCGTGTTATGGATACTAGATAACTGATACAAGTACATAGTTTTTATTTATACATAGAAAACACCCAGACTGGCTCAACAAATCATACTCATGAATACAAATGTTTGTGTCGAGGAATCGAACCCGCGACCATAGGAAGTAAGGCGGTGTGTTAAACCGCTAGACTATCGAGGCCGTCATAGAAAATTATTCGAATAAAGAATTTTCATATTATAAGACAAATATTTTGAAATTGTCTCTGCGGTCACTGCACTGACGACGGCGATCTGCCATTATGTTTAAGTTTATTCAAATAAAGAATGTGAATTTTTGAATTTCTTTTCTATTCTATTATTTATATTTCTATTGCAGATAGTCTGGGATGACATCATCGGAGAGCCGGAGGGTGCGCGCAGCCCCGAGTGCGCGTGGCGTTTAAGCAACGTATGCTTCCAATACGCGCGCAACTGGTGCTACATGTGCCTGGCTGTCATCCTAGCACCACCCTGCGCATTGCTGCTGGGCTGCGGATTCGCATGTCTCGCCTTTGAGGTTAGTTTTAGATTGTTTGGGCTATTGTCAGGTGCATGAACCTGTAGCACTGCGACCTACATAGATCTATTGTGCTCGCCCTTTTCAAAGTTTGCTACCTAGACCCATCAGGGACAAGAATTGATGTAAAAAAGAAGTGAAATTATGGTTTTTATCTCCTCCTTGAGATTAGCTACTATCTATACAATTTGTTACTTATAGATATACCTAATAATTTTAGTGAGAAGGCGGTAAACAGTAGCTATATGAATTGTAAGAATTGTAGATTTTGTAAATGTAAATATGCATGAATAATTGTAATTTATTTAGTAAGACAACTTAAAAACGTAGTGAATATTTACTCATTGAGATAAATGGCAGCAAATAGCGGGAAAGGTTAAAAACTCATTTAATTAATATTAAAAAAAATATATTTAATAAATTCTTGCGAGTTCCATTTTTAAATATTTAATACAAGTTACTTAATCTAAAGAAATGCTTATCTCTAAAAGATATTTATCCCTTTGTTTCATTTACAGCAAATCTGGTGTACAGCACCATGTCTCCGTTGCGTGAAGATCTACTGCGCATCACTGCGCACGATGGTCGCGTCCTGCATGGCAGCTACGCTGGTACCCACAGCCGAGGCTATCGGCCATATTTGCCGCCATGTTCGAGTGAACTTCCGAAAAGACGCGCCAGAAGAAAAAGATCTCCTAGTCATTTAGTGAGAAATTAAACAATTCACCCTAATTACAATAGCAACTAAACACTATATTCGTCACATTTTGACATATAGAGTTATTAATTAGTTAGAAAAGAACGTATATAGAAATATCATTTCGTAATTAACCAGGTTAGCGCTAGTTTATATAACCTCTACTACCTTTGCAATGAATTGATATTAATATATGCGGTCTCTTCTAACTCATTAGTAACTGCATAAGTAAAAATATATCGACTATATTTGGTGTAGTTGTTTTAACCAGAATTCTATGCTAGTTCTTGTTCTTAGAAATAAATTTATTACTACAAATTGTTTCTATTAACTTTTTAAGAACTGATTAAAGTGTTTTTAATTCGTTAATAAATACATAATTATTATATATGTACCTGTACCATAATGTGCCTTTTAGGGTGAGTCGTGAATTACCAGACCTACGTGCTTCGTTGGTATTCTGTTCTGGAGTGTAATGTAATATGTTATGAAGTGATATGAGATGTAACATTACATTGCTATAATGCTTGTAATGTTAGGTACATTACAAGCATGATAGCAATGTAATGTGTAAATAGCAATTTAATAAAAATGTAATTTTCGCTACCAATTAAATAAAAAGTTTTTAAATTAATTAATTAATCATTATAAAATTCGTATTAAAATATATTATTATAGTTATTTATTATTATCGTACCTGTTAAGTACAATTTGTCTAAAATAAATATTCTCTGATTATTAAATCTGATAGTTTATTTTTTTCAGACATACCTATTACTATTTTTACGTAATTTAATATTTTAATCATCATATACCTATATTCTTCTCTTGTTACTGTAAAGCAGGTGCAGCAATGTAAGTATCAATTCTAGGTATACAATAATTCTTACATCAATAATGAAATAAATAGGCTAATCCACGGGTTCAAGTACAAAAACTTAAACGTGGCAGATAAATACATTAGTCATATATACATATATATTGAATAAATATGTTACTTCTATTATATTACACAATTAAGTCTTTCAATCAACGTTTTTACGAAATTTTATCCTTATATATTTTTTCTTCTATTTACTACACATACTTATAATTCATCCATTTAACTCACTCTTCATTTTATATATTTAAATTCATCACGAATGCTATTTCTTTTTTTCAAGTGGCTCCACTGAAAATCAGCGCTGTAGTGACACGCTGCGGCATCAGCTGAGTGCCGCAGCGTGTCACTACAGGGCCTTTCAGCTCATAGCGAAATATTACTTTTTGAGTTTTCTTTTTTATTCTGTTCTATGATGCTAAATAAATGATTATTATTATTAATAATAATAATAATAAAAGTAATATGCAACCTAGTCGAAACGTCGAGAGAGGTAAATACCTTTATTTACCATAAAATTATTCGTGTTAAGACCCGAATAATATAAATATTGTATAATTAAAGTAAGTTATATTTAACTAACTTTCCGGTGATAGTAACACCGATAACAAACCAAATTTATGTAGAGAAAGATTACTCTAGGGGTGTCTACATAAATAACGTCACGTCCTAAGAAAAACATCGTCACAACAATATAGACATTTGACTACGTGTCTGGCCACACCATTTGGCGTTACATTTGTAGTAATATATATTTATTTTTATTAAATGGAATAGATTTTATCTTAACAGAAGGTTGAACTGGAAAAGTAGAACATTTCACCTCTTCGATATTTATCGCCATGTACTGCCCTACTAACCTATGGTGTAACACGCTATAGGCTTGTCACCCACTAGTTATGATGAGTAATTACTGGGAAACACGATTAAAAAATATTACAAGGCTATTATATTAAAAAAAATCAATTGTAACTAATTTATTATAAAAACAATACAAACCTTATATGTACTATGTTGTTGATTATTAACAAAACTATACCTAAATATACTTTAATGATTCAGTCGTAGTACATTGTAGTCCATTTTATAATACGTGACTTGGCACTGTATTTTTTAAACACAAAAACGTTACTAAACCATAGGATAAGAAAATTGCACTGCACCTCTGTTCAATTTTCTTTCTCTATGGCTTTTTTCAAGTCGTTTGACATAAACAGCACTTAACTGCATACTACATTAAGGAAAGGAAAAGAAAATTATTAATATCAAATATTATGTGTTTCTTAAAAATATAATTATCTAGCTACTGAGCAAATAATCACTATCTACCTAATTCAAGGCAGAATGGTTTGTGGTTACAGCCTGTCCAAAAGGAGAAAAATAAAAATAAACTTTTTTATGTGTGATATAATTTTGGCGGGTAAATGATATTTTGTATTAGAACTACCTACCAAATTTAAGGCAGAATGGCTTATGGTCACACTCTGTCCAAAATAGGAAAAAAAAAAATAACTTTTTTATGTGTGGTATAATTTGGCGGGTAAATGAGATTTTGTATTTTCACTAACTACCAAATTCAAGGCAGAATGGCTTGTGGTCACAACCTGTCCGAAAGGAAAAAAAGAAAAATAAACTTTTTTACGTGTGATATAATTTTGACGGATTTTGAGTAAATGAGATCTTGTATTTTCACTACCTACCAAATTCAAGGTAGAATTGCCTGTGGTCACACTCTGTCCAAAATAGGAAAAATAAAAATAACTTTTTTATGTATGGTATAATTTTGGCGGGTAAACGATATCTTGTATTAGCACTATCTTCAAAATTCAAGGCAGAATGGCTTGTGGTCAGAGCCTGTCCAAAAGGAGAAAAATAAAAATAAACTTTTTTATCTATGTTATAATTTTGGCGGGTAAAAGATATCTTATTTTTACCACTATTATTAAATATAAAATAAATATTACAGTAACTAATAATTGAGCGTTATAAGTGTTGTTATAATGACTGAAATATCATCAGATAACACCTCAGTGAAGGTGACTCGGCGTCCAGTAAGCAATAACAACAACACGGGGTCTAATGAAAGCGGTAATCGATTTGTCATATCAAAGTGTAGAAGGTATTGATGCATTCTTGTTACTTTCCGATATATTTTCTTATTTAACTAAAGTATGAGTTTATAAAGTTTCCAAATATTGTATGCCACATATAACATTGTAAAATGACCTTCCAGCAATAGTATTTCAACTATACTTAGTAGTAGGCAACTCACTTGCCGGGTGTTGCGGGTACTTATGGGCGACGGTAACCACTTACCATCAGGTGTAGTGCCCCAAGTTGGCCCCTCATTCTATAAAAAAGTCTTCAATAGTATTAATCTATACATATAAATAAAATTGGATCTCTTTGTAATATTGAAATAACCGTTTTTTACTACATGCATATGAATATAAATACGGTACATACACCAAAATAACATTTTTTACAATTTTTGTCTGTCTGTGTGTTTGATCCGGCTAATCTCGAAATGGCTGGACCGATTTTGACGGGACTTTTTTGGCAGGTAGCTGATGTAATAAGGAATAACTTAGGCTACTTTTATTTTAGAAAAATAAAGTTAAATTTCACGCGGACGAAGTCGCGAGTACAGCTAGTCTAATATATAAAGTCCCTCATCATAGTGTTCGTTAGGATCGAACTCCTCCGATATAGCTTGACTGATATTTGTAAAATGTTGTGTATATTTGGTGGATCTGAAAATCGTCGGTAGGTCGCAGACTATTTTAATACCCCTATGATACAATCGTGGTCCACCCGACAAAAAAAAATATTTTGTACATAATTTTATAAACATTTTTTTTTATTTGTATTAAAACATACTGTATTTTTTTAATTTTCTATTTATTTAATTTCAAACTCGTAATTTTTACTCTTCTACCATCAACCCCTATTTTTTAATAGTGATATTAATTTATGTGGAAAACGTTTGTCGGGTTAGCTAGTATATATAATAACTAGCTACTTGCCCCGGCTTCGCACGCGTATACATATATTATATATATAAACCTTCCTCTAGAATCACTCTATGGATTAAAAGAAACCGCCTCAAAATCCGTTGCATAGTTTTAAAATTTTAAACATACCTATATAGGGACGGACAGACAGCGACAGCGACTTTGTTTTATACTATGTAATGATATATTTACATTTTTTCTAGAGATGCCAATGATAATATAAACCAAGAGACCAGTGACGATACTGAGCATGAAGAGGTATGTTTTCTATTATATTTTCAATCCATACTAACATAAATAATAAAGTAGGCTTGTCTGTCTGTCTCTACTTACTTTTTGGCGGTTAAACGGGTAAACAGATCCTAGTAAAATTTAACGTAAAGATAGATTGCGTAACGAGGACTGAATACTTTTTTTTTGCATAAGCAATAATCTGGAAGGGGTTGAAATAGGGGATGGGAGCTTGCGCTGACGAAGTTGCTAGTTAAATGTTCAAAAGGTAGACTTACGGGTTTTATCCATGGTTTATCCAATACTGGTGCTCTAGGTAACGTCAACTTATTTGTTTCTTTAGTCATAAAAAATCATATGTATAAGTGACGATATACATACATTCATAGGTGATGGTAACAACTTTCCATACAGTGGGTCGTCAATTTATTTGTCTTTCTAGTCATAAAAATCATATGTATGACGATATATATACATAGACGACGGAGACAACTTTCCATCATGTGGGTCGAAAACTCGTTTGTTATTGTAGTCACAAAACATATTGCAAAATTTATATATATATATATATATATATATATATATATTATGCGCTAATTAATTAAAATGAAATTAATTATTAAATGTCAGTGAAGCACACGATTCCCTGCTGTATAATGAAACCGATTTAAAACCTCTACTAAAGTTTCCACACCTTCCATTACAAAATTAAATGAGTTAGCGTAGTGGCGGATAGCATTGTGTAACCACACTTCCACTGAATGCTAATTAATTAGTCGCTATATTATTTACTATATATATATATATATATGTCTATCTATATATCTATATATATACATAACTCAAAGGTGACTGACATAGTGATCTATCAACACAGCCCAAACCACTGGACGGTTCGGGCTGAAATTTGACATGCAGGTAGATGTTATTATAGAACATATTCTATTTCTATGTAGAAAGGATTTTGATTAATTCTACCCCCAAGGGGATAAAATCGGGGTCGAAAGTATATATGAAACTTTGTCAATTTTAAACCGATCGGGCTGAGACTTTGCATGCATAAAGCTACTATGACGTAGGCATCCCCTAAGAAAGGATTTTGATAAATTCCATCCCTTTTCGTTCGTTAGTCTCGCTAAAACTTGAGAACGGCTGAACCGATTTGGCTAATTTTAGTCTTGAAATATTCTTGGAAGTCGAGGGTAGGTTTAAACGGTGATAAAACGAAGAAATTGCATGTAAAATGGTAAAAACAACAATTATATTTTCCCATACAAACGGCTGATACCTGTCAAACAGGGGGCGTTCAGAAATTTATTGCGTAACTTCAAAAAACCTTTGACATATTTAACTTTGAAGCGGAATTCGCGAGGTCAGTTAGTATATAATTAAAAATACTATCGTATACAATTAATACTTGTTGTAAATTACTGTAAATATATCATTATTTTTAATCTTATTAATATTAAAACGCGAAAGTTTGTGAGTATGGATGTTTGTCACTCTCTCACGCAAAAATTACTGAACGGATTTTGTTGAAACTTTACAGTAATATAGCTTATGCATCAGAATAACACATAGGCTATTTATATTGAAATATGAACGCGAGTGAAACCGCGGTCACAGCAAGTATATTATATATGTATAATACATTATTAGAAATATATACGTATGTTTGTAGAGATTACTATCGGTATACTGCCGGTCCGGTAAGCTGGGAGCAGCGCACTACACGCTACAGACCGGGGAGGTGGGTTCAATTCTGTAGTTCTGTACAATGTTTGATATATTTGAAAATAAGAAGAGTCTGCAAAAATAGTACTGAAATTCCCGTACATAGTTATAAAATATTAGTGCAAAAACAAACAGAAGTATAAAATAAATAAAGTGTATCTACTACACTAATATCGATTTGTTTTTGAGAGTATCACGGTCTTTGCAGACTAATCTTTTTTTGTACGACGGTGGCAAACAAACATACGGCTCATCTGATGGTAAACGGTAACCGTAGCCTATGGACGCCTGAAATACCAGAGCAATCACGGGCCCGTTGTCTACTCTTAAAAAATCTTAATATACCCTTCTTGAAGAATCCATGCTGTAGTCGCTAGAGAAAACTTAGAAAGGTAGTTCATTCCACAGTTAAGTGTGCGCGGGAGGAAGCTCCTCTGAAGCCGAACTGATCGAGACCCCTTAGGTTCCAGCGTGTGGGGATGCATTCTTTAAATAAACATGACGTTATTCTTAATAATATTATAAACGCGAAAGTTTGTGAGTATGGATGTATGTTACGCTTTCACGCAGAAACTACTGAACTGATTTTGATGAAACTTTAGAGTGATATAGATTATACATATAAATAATATATGGGCTATAAATTTAAGAACAGCTAGTATTAAATAAATTAGCAAGTAACAATTCATATACAAAAGTATAACCTGCACTATCAGTATGTGTATTACAATAACAAAGCGATTTTTTTTGTTAAAAGGAAAAAAGTGATATAGCTTATACATCAGAATAACACGTAGGCTATAAATTTCACGCGAGTGAAATCGAGACACAGCTAGTATACCATATTTGCAACTAACTCCCTTATGTCTATCAGCTGTACGTACTTGAAGAGATAATGGACCGCCCACCAGAATTCCAAATGTTCTTAAATCTGTTCCGCCAAGTGGAACCAGCTAAGATTCTTCTAGAAGGAAAGTCACAGAGCACCTTCGTACAGACAGTCAAAACGACGGTGTTCGATTGTGACGCCAGTGGTCAGGGAACTTGCAAGCTGATACTTTTATCCGCAAGGGAATACAGTAAGTTAGATTCCGAATATCCAATATTACTTAGAAGTAAATTGCTATGACAAACAAACTGACGGTCCATCTGATGATAAGCGGGCATGACGTCATTATATGATGCCCATGGTACCTTGAGTGGCCATTCCTCAGGACTAAGATGTCAGGCATCTATATCCTGTAATTTACTGCCATATCTCAGCATCAACTGACACGTATCTTACAAAGCAAGCTGCTTGGTGACTGAAATACCTTGATGAGACAAAGGTAAATTTTCTTGAGTTTGGTCCTCCTTAATAATTGACTTACTGCCACCTTTCATCTGACGGGCATCTATCAAAGCAAGCTGCTTGGCAAAAAAATGCAACATTTCTGGACTATGTGAACTTGTGCCTCCTTAATAAATTAAAATTAAAATTAAAATATAATTTATTCATGTAAGACATTTTAGCCACTTATAAACGTCAAATTTTTTATATTATAATTTTTTCCCTACCGTCCAATTCAGTATATATCCATGATCCAATTGAGAAGAACTGGCAAGAAACTCAATTAAATTACTTTTTCTTTTAAAACCAGTTTATTTACAATGTATATTTATATAGGTGTATATGTCTAACATTAACTTCCGTGTATGAACTGGCTTGGCTGATAATGTTTCGTTCAGAGGCAAAACTCTTATCGCATTATGGGTGTAGATCCAATAATTGTCGCAATTTGATCACCAATAGAGAAGATCATAACGATTCCAGTAGCGGTGGTCAGGTTTCCGCACAGAATGTTTGTGCTCTCACACATGTAGCGGAATTAAACAAAATAATATAAATTCAATAATTGTTGAAAACTCGGATTATTTGACTGGTAGTTATTAAATATCATAGGTTTCGAAGCCTGCAAACGTCGTATCCACTCCCTCTCGCTGCCCAACGAGCCACCCAATTGTACAGAAGATGAAAGGAAACTGTACATTAGGACCGTTGTAGATTTCTCTCACGTACAGAGCGTGCACGCACTCGGTGCGCTGCTCCGGTACTTAGACCTCAACTGGTCCAGTCTTGCCATGGAGTTGCATAGCAAACCACAGTTTTTGAGCTTAAGGAAAATTTCCCTGTAAGTTGTATTATTATTATCTTTGAAAACACACAATAGACAAATACAAACAGTCATACTCATGTATGTAGCATGCAAGAATCAAACACGCGACGTTCGAATTTAAAGCAGTGTGCTAAACGGCTAGACTACCACTAAAATGTCCTTGTACCGTAGACCATATTTGCACGAAGATCCTTTTATGGTTAGTATCTTTGACCTTGTTCAAACGGGATGGAGGACCGGACTTGACGAACTCTATCATGGAGCCTCTACTCTCAGCTGTGCCGTTGCCAGTAGTTTTCTTGATATCCGGCTCGAAGGACCAATAACACGGCTGTCAATGGCAGAATGTCTCTTATGATTAAAATAAATAACTTATCGATCTTTTACGTCTAGCACAGCGAATATTTGACACAAACTTAAATAATAAACAAAAATTTAGCAGTCAAAAATAGTTATAAAACAAGTTAAAACTAGAAACAGAGGTCTGTCGCTAACAATGGTCCTGTTTTTTTTATATCATACGTTTTCAGTGCAGATATAGTGACAATAGACGAAGACACGTACCGTGGTCTCCAGATATTCAGCGCGGTGTCACACCCCAGTAACTTCAAGAAAGGCGTACAAGGCAGTAACAAGGAGGGTCTCAGCTTGTTACACGTCTTCAGCAAATGCTCCTCCAAGGTTGGCCAGAGCAGAATGAGGTAATCAACTTATTTATAACTTGCGACTTATTAATATTTATATAATTTTAATGTCTTCTTTTCTCTTTTTTTTTTCTTTTCTCGTACACGTATGTATGGCTGATCTAATGACCAAATTATTCTATAACATTTTCTAGGTTTGCTGGAAGAAATCTCTTTTTAGAGTTAAGCTCGTCCTTGTATATTACTGCTATTTTTTTTCCTGTGTGTGTACAATAAAGAATTATTTATTTATTTATGTTACATTATACAATTATGATACTACAGGCAAATTAGTAAATTGACTATAACATGCACCGTGCTTTTTTTTCTTATGGGCCTTCTGGATGGGGTAACTGGCCTGACCTCATGTTCATCTTAACATCCTCCACTGTTGCCCCGCCAGCGTGAACCGTTAGCGCAGACGGATGTACCATTTCATTATCATCCACAAAAAAAATACTAGATTCAAAGACAAACTTGCTGTTACTAAGTATCGTTTAGAAAAGTCATTGACTTTTACAATAAAATACAAAACGATGTACAGCCATTCATAACATTAATACTAGATCTAAAGACAAACTTGCTGTCCCCAAGCATCGTTTAGTCAATAGGTCCTTTATGGGAATGGGTATAAAAAATTACAAGAAAATACCAAAGGATATACCGGAATTACCTTTAAGTCAATTCTAAACATCTGTTAAATCATATTTACTGAGCAAAGCCTATTACTCACTAAACGATTACTTGAATGACGAGCGTGCATGGCAATAGTTGATCATGCACGGGATTTTTATTTAATGTTAGGTGTTCATACCTACATAAGTACACAATGACTTAATGAAAAAAAGGATATTCAATTGAGTTTCTTGCCATTTCTTCTCAGTTGAATCAATCAATGAAAAAAAATATTAATATAAAATTTTTTACGTTCATAAGCGGCTAAAATGTCCTACATGAATGAATTATTTTTTATTTGATTTGATACAGAACCAAAATTTTGTGACAACCAATGTCATCCAATCACATTACTCTACAGAATATTCCTGCAGCATCCCACTAAGGATATGTCAGTGCTGAAGCTGCGTCAGGACGTAGTGGCCTTCTTTATGCGGCCGCAGAATGAGTGCACAATGAAGAATATTTGCTCCTCCCTCAGATTCATCAAAAATGTTAATGTTCGTAATAATCTTCTGTTTAATTATTTAGACCCCTTCCTTTACCCATGTAAAAGAAGAGAGGAAAACCTATGGTATGGTACCTATTGTAGTAGAACATTATATAGCTAAAGAGAAGGCCGAAGAACTGTAATGGGTGGTAGAACATTGTATATATGTACATAAAGAGAAAGTCGTAGAACAGAAGAATCTTCTTCTGTTCTTTGACTAACGATAAATACGATCATAATATTATATTAACGATATAATAATAATCATAATAAATCCATTTATTGCCATTATTAGTATAGTAATATAGTTACACATACATATTTAATATGATTGGCAATAGGTACAAACTCAGCTATTGCTGGACTGATGCGCGTCCAGCACTGGTTTTCAGTTTGTACGTACGCACACATAATGAAATAAAAACTTAACAAATTAATACATAAATACGCAATGCATGAGTAGGTACCTACACAAAAATTCATAAACGCGGAATTGTATGAGTATCGATGGATGGATGAATTTTAAATTAAAAACAGACACTTTAATTTTATCTATTTGTGTAGATATATTTTGAAATGGTTATCCAGGGAGTTATTGTTACTAACTGTGCCCGCGGTTTCACACTCGTTAAATTTATTCTACATCAGATGAACATATAAGCTAAGCTATATTATTGTAAAGTTTCATTAAAATCCGTTCAGTAGTTTTTGCGTGAAAGAGTAATAAACATTTATCCATACACATGAACTGTAGCTATTATAATAGCTCTAATATTCCTTTTAGGGTATACTTACAAAAATGAAGGCGTTATCAGCAAAATCTTATCAATGGAAGTCTCTTTATAATGTAAGTTTAATAGTAGATAGTAAATTATTATGACTTTTACGGTAACATTTACCATTAGGTGCTTTATTTCATTACCACCATCCTGGTTTACAAAAAATCTATGAAATATATTAGGCTTACAGGTACTGGTTAAGCACACCACCGCCTCGCTTCTGATGGTCGTTGGTTTGATTCCTCGCATGATGCAAACATTTGTATCCATGAGTATGACTGATACAAACAGTGTCGGTCTAAATGTTCTATATGTATATTATATATCTAAAAAAAATTATTCAACTATTTCTATCAGTTGTCACAGAAAGATTTTCTAGCAGCTTTTCTTTCAGAAGCTTTAGCTAGCTTAACTTGGGTCTAGATGGCGCTGTGTGAATTGTCCTGATATTATTATTATTATTATAATTTTGTGTGTGCAGTACCATAGGACTAGATTTCGCTGTATGAATAGTCCTGCGTTATTATTATTATTATAATTCTGTGTGTGCAGACATTATACAATGCAGTGTTGATATGTGAGATCTGCGAAAATGCGGGAAATGCGAGCGAATTCTTGCAGCAACTCGCATCCTGCGATAACAACAAATTGTATGAAGTAAGTTGTACAAAAAATATATTAACTGGTGGTCTACGTTATTGTATCTATCTTAAATCTGTAGAAACTACAGTACATATTATATTACTAGCTGCACCCGCGACTTCGTCCGCGTGGAATTTAACTTTATTTTTCTAAAATAAGAGTAGCCTAAGTTACTCCTTATTACATCAGCTACCTGCGAAAACAGTCCCGTCAAAATCGGTTCAGCCATTTCAGAGATTAGCCGGAACAAACAGACAGACAGACAAAAATTGTAAAAAATGTTATTTTGGTGTATGTACCGTATTTATATTCATATGCATGTAGTAAAAAACGGTTATTTTTTATGTAAATACTCTCTTTCCAGAGGTTGTCTGTAAGAGATTGCATTAGCGATAAGAACGCCTTTTTTACTTAGTTTTTTTTATGTTTTTAATTTTGTTCATGTCCTTTATATGTTGGTGCAATAAAGTGTTATAATATAATAATAATCTGGTCAAGATCGCTGGAAGGCGTTGGATGCGAGCAGCGCAGGACCGATCGTCGTGGAGATCTTTGGGGGAGGCCTATGTCCAGCAGTGGACGTCTTCCGGGCTGCGATGATGATGATGATGATGAATATAATAATAATATTTCCATATTACAAACAGACACTCCATTTTTATATATATGTATAGAATAATAATAATTTATATAGATGGCGTTATATATGAACAGAATAATAGATTTCGACCTGTCCAAATCTGAAGGGAAGTTTACAGTGAAGGCTGGAGTAGATCCCGACTTAGATATAAGTAAGTATATTTTTGTAATATAAACGATTTGTATACAATTCCTAAACTAATAATAAACCTGGACAAGTAACGTAACGTCACCTAGTCCCAAGCTAAGCAGAGCTTGCGTTATGGGTACTATACAACTAAAATATATTTATTTGTAATGTTAGATTTACAAAAAAAAATGGTTGTAAGTTGCCTAGTACGCATAATAAGACCAGAATAATACTCAAATTGGTGCAAACAATGATATTAATGAATACCAATGTTTGTATCATGTGAGGAATCGAAGCTTCAACCATCGGAAGTAAGATCGTTAGCTCAAACACTAACCTACCGAGGCCGATCACTATAGTGATATAGGTACAATTGATGATGTTATTATAGTATTACTTTATATGTCAACAAAAAAATATTACTGTAAAGTTTCATCAAAATCCGTTCAGTAGCTTTTGCGTGAAAGAGTAACAAACATCCATACTTACAAACTTTCGCGTTTATAATATTATTATGATCAAGACTTGTATATCCAAGTTGTACTAATGAAAGAAAATTATAATTTAAAAACACAGTACAATTCTTTTAACCATTTTGATTGACTCTATAGAGAAGCAGACCATGGCAAGCCTTCATGGGCTGATGTCGGAGACAGCTAAGGTGGAAATGGAGCGTCTGCCGATGTTCATCGAGGAGTGCACAATGCTGTACATGCCACACTTGGGCTACCTGCTCGGGGTGAAGGCCTGGAGTGACGACCTCACCATGGATCAGAAGCAGTTGCCTAACATGAAGTTTATGGTAAATATTTTTTTGTTTATCTGATAGTAAGCGGTTTCCCTAGAATATAAACATTAACATAATTGTAAGGTACATATAAAAATAATAAATAAATAAGCTAGTTTCTGTCAAATTTTGTATTCGTACAATAAATATCGTCCTGTGTTTTACTCGCTTTTTATTGCTTAATTATTCACATACACTACATAAGGAGCAGGACATTATCAACTATATATGGACCAGGAGTAACCTAACATTGATGGTGACGCAGCTGGAGTCAAGTCATAACGCGAGTTTCAAGGCATTTAGGGCCCGGGTCCCAATCAACATGCTGCCTACCTTCATGAAAGAAAACTACTGGCCGAAGGGGATGGTGTATCGGCGCTACCGTGGAAGATTGCCGTCGTCAGTGCCGTGACCACAGAGACAATTTATTTATATTATTATTACATATGTATGAGGTGTTAGTCTATAAGGTATTTATAATATGGGCCATTCATTCCATTAGTCATTATTTACTCAGTTTCAGAATAACGACTATATACATTACAAGAGTAAAGGCTGCGAAGGTAAGAAAAAAAAATGATTGACATTCTCAATCGAAATTTTAAATTTAAAGTCAATTATAAATATTTACCTGTAATATGCCGACAATTGTTTTATATTATCACTTATAGTGAAAAGAGTAACGGCAGTAGAATCAATCGTCAAACGTCATCTATAAATAATAGTAACCTTAATTAATCATAAAATACTATTCAAAAACACTTAAAATTAAGTTCAGTTAAATAGACCATTCCATTTTTAATTAATTTAATTCTATTCTATTCCATTTTCTCCCACTCCAGTCTTTTATTTATCTATTATACTTTAGAGTTAGACGTGATGATAGGCGACACATACCCTGAGATAGTGGCGCACGAGACGCGCATCATGATGAGGCTCACCAACATCGTGCTGGAGAACCTCAGCACCCTCGCCGACGTTATCGACAAGTGCGCCGAACTTGATTGGTAAATACTGATATTTAATAATCATCTTTATTTGTCTCTATATATAATAATAAAATTTAGAAGTAATAAACGAGTCAAAACGTTTTATAAATCAAAGGGAGTGAGTCCACCCTCTCTGCTATTCTGTTATAAGCCTTTATTAGTAAATTAATGCAATGACAAATCCACGACGACTAGTACTAGTACTTAAATTCTAAGCTAGTACTAACAAAATAAACACAAAAATTTACAATATTACAAACTAATAAAATTGGACAATAACAAATTTAAATAAAATATATCATGCTGTAGGAACATTCATGCTTGAGAGCAGATCATTATCGTCTATGCACCACAATGGTTATGGTTATCACAAAATATATAGTGTTAAACTAATAGTTTATACTATGGTAAATGATTACCAATACCAAAGCTAATCCCAAGCTCTAACAATGCCAGAGATATAATAAAAGTCGGTCTTTTAGGATAGAAGGAAGCTCTTTGCCCGTAATTTTCAATATCGTATCTATTAGGAATAACCAAAGTCGATACTTGATTCCACCACGTGGTTTTCCTAGTCATAAATTATATTTTTATGGACCTTGTTAGTTATGTCACTGTACCAAGCAATCTTAGATTTATTTCAAGATTTATCCCAAAATATACATACCAAAGGCCATCGTAATTTGATCACCGTTTAAATTGGGCGTGGGATAAATCGAAGACAAATACTGTATTTTTTAACAATGATCTCTCACTTTCTTTCTGAAATGCATTAAATAAAATAGATAAAAAAGAAATTGTGATTTCATTGAAGATTTCATTGAATAAGTTCTTATAGTTATGTGATTTTTTTTCAGTCTAATATCAATATCTAAGGTATGCAAGGAGTTAAACTTTGTGCGGCCCACATTGACTGATGAGAAGATAATCAGCATCAAACAAGGGAGGCATCCCCTTCACGTCCTCAACTGCGAGAACTTCGTGCCCAACGACGCCGAGTCAAACCAGGAAGCAGGATATGTTAAGATACTGACTGGACCCAATTCTAGCGGGAAGTCAGTTTATATGAAACAGATTGGTGAGTTGTAGCAGAATATCATTTCGAATCTAGTATCTTGCGCGTTCTCTTTCTTCTGATGATAATGCTTTCCGAATGAACGGTAAAATAGAATAGATATATAATACTCATAATAGATATGACTCAAAATCAAAAAATCTTTATTCATAGATCTATTACAGACTCTTATGATGTGTCAAATTTACTGTCAGTCGGAATGCTTTCGAGACACGAAGAACTGATTCAGATCTTATTCTGTTCAAATGAGCATGTACATGTTTACAATAATGCAGATTATTTTTTAATGAAGCAACCCTATGATACAATGGAGCCTTTGCGTCGCCAATGACAGACGCATGCCTTATATGTTTTAAAACAGTAAACTAAATGGGTAAAACATAAACTGGCCCATGCGATACCAACTACGCTTAGTGCAGAAACCGTTGTAAAAAACACAACTGATCACTTTGTTAAGATCTATGTTTATAAAGTTGTGTCTTATGTGAAATGTTTTTCTTGATATAAATATTATTATTATTGTATATGATAGTTCCAAATTTGTATAATAGCGCTGATAGTGTACCTGGCACACATCGGCAGCTTCGTGCCGGCGGAGACGGCCACAGTAGGGACGGTAGACCGGCTATACTCGCGGCTTCACTCCGCGGAGTGTGTCGCCGCGCACATGTCGGCCTTCCTCGTCGACCTGCGGCAGGTAACTACCATCTACCATCCCCAAAATATAGTCCTGAGCAGGAATGCTTCGCTCCTCCGTCATACCTATTATTCTACCACTTATTCGAAACGCATACTCATCACAAGAAGAATGAGCAAGAAACTGGAGTGTTGCATGATATTTTATTTTATGGTACCCTTGCCTGCGCAAATGCTTACACTGAAGACCTTATTTATTATAACAAATTTGATTGTATATAAGCCGACTAGACTGGACTCATCCGTCATACTCGTAAGGGAGTGCTGCTTATGCCTTCTCTAAAATCTACGTCTTTTTAATTGTATGTACCAGTTGGTTGTGTATTTAATATTTTGACCCCAATGAATTTGTGCTAGTTGGTAGTTTGTATCCACATATTTCAACTTAGAAATGTAAAGTTACAACTAAATTTTAAAAAGCAACATGCAACTTTCCTTCTCGTTCTTCATGTGATTAGTCTCCAAACCCGCGGATGACTTATATAGCCGCAGAAGGCCAACTCTTGCCTGACGGATAGTCATATCCGTTAGACAGCAGGGCACCGCTAGGGCTTCGAACTTCAACTCAGGCCGTCGTAACTTCAAACCCCGTTTGAATTGGATGGGGATCAACCGGGGCACCGGTGAAAGCGTTCTCTTGATTTTTTTTTTAATGTTTCTGTCCCTCTAGATGGCGCTGGCTCTTCAAGAGTCTACCTCGAATTCGTTGATCATAATCGACGAGTTCGGCAAGGGTACATCAGAGGTCGATGGGCTAGCGCTCCTGGCTGCTTGTCTCAACACGTTCCTGTTCCAAGGCGAGAGCTGCCCTCATGTCTTCCTCTCCACGCATTTCCTCAACATCAAGGATTACATTGTCAAAACGCCGATTGTCAAGTTCCTGGCAAGTATTTGATAACACAAAACAATATGGTAACTTCATCAGGGATACACTGTAAAATATTCTGCGTGAGTACCTCAGTCTCACCTATTTCAGCCGTCAGCTTGATATGTGAAAGGAATCATCAAAATGTATAACTAATAACCAAGATAGAACATAACATATTACGTTTAATTAAGAGATATTACTTGTGGAAGTTACTTGTTCATCTTACAAACGTTCAGCACCGAATGTCTCCTCAGAATCTATTTTCCTTTCTCCCTACCTGCACATTTACCCCACCACAGTTATTTAAAACAGATGGCGCTGACTGATTCCAGAACGTAATACAGTGGCGCCCCCAAACTATCAAAGTGGCGATAACTGACATTTTTTATAGTATAAAGACAAACGAGCTTGCAGCTCGCCTGATGGTAAGTGATTACCGCTGCTCATTAGCACCCGCAACACCAGGGGAACTGTAAGTGAGTTGCCAGCCTTTTAAGAAGGAAGCTCTTTTTTTAACGTTTTAATATCGTATTGGTTGGAAGGAGATTGTTAGCAATATGGATTATTAACCCGTTTGTGAGTAATGTAACATGTCAGATTGACCTCCATGCGGTTCCTTCTGGTTCAATTCCTGGTGATTTGCCACAATGTGCTAACTGACCTGACCTCATACTCATCTTATCATCCTCCACTGGTGCCCCGCCAGCGTATACCGTTAGCACAGGAGAGTGCACCAATCCATTATGATGCCTTAAAAAATATCGTATTGGTTCGGAAATACCATTTCTGGAAGCTCATTCCATAATGTGATTGTATGTGGCAAAAAATTTCTGGACTGTGGAGGACCGCCAATTTTTTCTACTAAGAAAGCAATATTTATAAAAAATATGACAAACAAACACATGTAGGTGACTTAAAGTTCATATTTACAGATTTATACATATTATATTTTATTAAAATATATTCACATATATAGAATAGAATAGAATAGAATAGAAAATAATTTATTCAAATAAACTTAATTTAAGCACTTTTGAATAGTCATAACAATTTGTTTTTTATCTACCACTTACTTATTTGTTTTTTATTATTTCTTATTTGTTTTTTACCTATTCACATATATAACTATAATAATATAAATATATATACATTTATACTCTTATTATATACATATACTATACTTATATACACATACAATCATTATTGTACAACACTAATTTAATTCATGAGCATACTCGAGCGAAACCCGTAGTATGCGGTTGGCCGGACTTTCTGTGATGTACTTACCTGAGAGTCGTCTAACAAGTTTTGTAACGCATCGCTTTGCTGCACCGTGCAGCGTCCGCTGCCGCTCGGTCATAGCCAGTTGCGATTATTCTGTATTAGGTTACCGTGTCGATTGTACGCTCATTTCAATTAAATAATTACGAGTTTATTGGGAGTATTTTTATCAATTACCCCAAACACAGAGTTTCGAACACGTATTACAAGACGGCGAGCCGGTGTTCTTGTTCCGTATCCGGGAGGGTGGCTCCTCGTCCAGCTTCGCGCTGCAGGTGGCCGCGGCCAGTGGCATACAGCAGCGGGTCATTGACCGGGCCACGGTGGTACTGGCTAGTCTCACGGTACGTACCGTTCATTCATAATTTAAGATCACTCTTGGCGGAGTTCTTGACCACGATTTTTTTTACATTTCTTTATAACTAGCTGTGCCCCTATTTATAACTAGCGAGCAGCGCAGGACCGATCGTCGTGGAGATCTTTGGGGGAGGCCTATGTCCAGCAGTGGACGTCTTCCGGGCTGCGATGATGATGATGATGATGTGCCCGCGATTTCACCTGCGTTAAATCTTATATATAAAATTCTCGTGTCACAGTTTTCGTTCCCATACCCCTCCGAAACGGCTTGACCGATTCTCATGAAATTTTGTGAGCGTATTGAATAGGTCTGAGAATCGGCCAACATCTATTTTTCATCTCCCTAAATGTTAGGGGTAGTCCACCCCTAATTTTTTTTTTAATTTAAGGCAAAACAACGTTTCCCGGGACAGCTAGTTTCAATATAAAATATAGCTTAGGTGATATTTTGATGCATAAGCTATATTACTGTAGTTTCATCAAAATCCGTTCGGTGTTTTTGCGGGAATGTGTAACAAATATCGATTCTTACAAACTTTCGCGTTAATAATAGCTTTTACCCGCGGCTTCGCTCGCATAACTTCATTACTGGCTGCTAGATGGCGCTGCAGTAGCAAAATATTGATATTTTATTTTTTTGTTTTTTTATAAAAATATTTGGTTTTTTTTAATAAAAAGTATCCTATGTTCATTCTAATACCTATAAGAACATGTGTACAAAATTTCATGATGATCGGTTCGGTAGTTTTTGGGGAAAAGTGTAACAAACATCCCTATTTTCACATTTATAATATTAGTAAGCTATAAAATTATTCATACATGCATATACAATAAATTAATAATACACACATTGAGTCTGTTTAAACAGAGTAGAAATTTCGTAAATGACTCATTACATATGTTACGATACCCAAAAGAGTCCTGTCTGTCAGTTTGTTAGGACTGAATGAAATTTAAAATTAAACCCTCTATAGTGTCCTAGTAATAATAGTTTACCGTTTACACTACGTGAATAAGTCCGAGGTTGATGGAATAAAAATACTTTATTTAACAATATAATTCCTGTGTTTCCCGCCATATTATATACAAGAATATAACGTATTTTCTTTTTATAATTATATGGCAACGGAATAACCATATACAGCCTAAACACTACGCCTGCAATTTTTTTTTTTGGTTTGCTCTGAAAACTATGACTGATTTATTTTTGTCACTCAAGTAACTATTATATTTATTTACTTTTGTCAATGTTGCTATTTGGTTGTTTGTATTCACATAAAATTCTAAATATGTAATGCTGAACAATATTTATTTAAAAGAGCAACACCCAAATTTCTCGCTCGTTCTTCTTGTAATGAATCTGCTTTCCGAATAAGCGGTAGAATAAAAAAAATATTGTATGACTATTTAAAATTGTTTCTATTAATTTTATTTGCATAAAGATTATTATTATTCTATTTATTCATATTTTAACATTATTTCAGAACAATTCCTTACCACCTGAAGACAAGAAGATCACAGCAAAACTGAGGGCCTTCACGGAAATAATAAAAAACGATCTCCTCACAAATGTTTAATTAATATCCATAAAATTTGTTTTATATATTAAATTACAATATGATATCTTTGCGTATATAACATTAATAAATATTTAATATAAAATACAAAATATATCAAAAAGAAATAATTACAACATATAGGCTGGCAATATACTGTTGACGTAACCGACTGTATGTTACCAGCCTAACTCTTATTACATCTACACTCAGCAAGCTGACTTGGCCAGCATTTTCGTAACCTATACATATAGAGAAACTGTGGGAATGTATGAGTCACATTCATACATACATTCTACGATACACACAATATTTTGACACAACGAAGCGCCTTTATAGCCACAATTTGAATCGGTTAAACCGATATTCTGGGTTGAAATCGTAACTGACCTCTTCACATGCCGTTAATCGATTCAGAACACTGACACCAGAATTATATATATTAGATTCAGCAATTCGTCATTAATATAATAATAAATACTTCATTATATATATATATATATATATATACAAGTACATTCGTTATACACATTCATAAGAAGCTGTGACAATGTGCTCATTCACATAAATTTGTGACAAATTTGGTTCAACCATTCAAATTTATAAAGAAGTATTAATATAGCCACCGATGAAAGATGTTAAAAATCTGAGATTTATAATAAATAATATAATTCTCATAATCATAATAATAATAATTTATTTCCTTACATGGTTCGGTTTTTATATTCATATTCAATATAGAATTCATACTCAGATTTACATCATACAATTATTTCAGTAACATTAATTACAATTAATTACAGTTATTGACTGTAAATAATTAGTGATGTTGTTAAATAAAAATTGCAATTAACGATGTTGGTGGTACAATAAGATATATACGTTATTAAGTAATTAACATTGTACACACTGTTTGTTCATCCAAATAAACTAAAATAAAAAACAATAACTCAACCACATTACCGTTACGCGAATAACCTTATAACTCTAGAACTCGAGTTATGGAGTTCTTCCCGCCGGCCAGGAATAGCTGCCTTTACACGACACGTTCTTTCACGATATAGCGCGGGAAAGCCAGTCTATAAATACATTAATTATGTGCATAGTCTGGCCATAAATACTGCTACAATTAAAAATAAACTAAATATTGCATTTGAATTTAGAATCCGTCATTCTTTAATTAATGTTCATTATATTTTCTTATTTTACTTGCGCCAGTCTATTACATTACATTAATCATCTATATAGCCTGGCCAAAAATACTCTTACAATTAAAAAGGAACTAAATATTATATTTGAATTTGGAATCTGTCATTCTTTAATGTATGTTCATAGCATTTTTTCATTTTTTCGCTTTTTCCCGAATCAGCTGTCACGCAGGACAGAACATAAAATGCAATCACTCAATCAATCGTGACTGATTGTGAGTTGAGTGATTTTATTCTTTTATTCAGCAGATTTTATTTTCCAAAACCCGTTTAAGATTTATAAATAATCAATCACTCTATAGTTATCTTTTATCTTTGCTACATACTCGGATATCCGCCATTTTTGAGTTTTAATGAATTAATACAAATTATTTAATTAATAAGTACACGTGAATGCGCTCTTGTTTGGGCGCGCGGTCTCTCTCGTTCTCTTCGTCTTCTATTCGCGCGTGAAAGAGCGTACGTGTAAAAGCAGCTTTAATTACACTTATATGTATCATTGTACTCATATCTAATATCATTCTGGAAAGTTCTCAAAAATATGCTATTTCGCGAGTATAATTATTAATATGATAATAATTTCATCGACTCGCAAAGCAAACACCAACACTCTTATTCATAAAAAGTAAAATAATAACTCTGGACTATTTAAACAGCGCCATCTAGTTCCAAAACTAAGCAGATCTTATTTTTTGATGAGTACTAGACTAGTGACAGAATATATTTTTTTTTATGATTTACTGACATAGAAAAAAACCCAGACCAATACAAACAACCATACTGAATGCATGAATGCCTGTAGCGTTCGAGGAATGAAACTCACAACCCTCGGAAATAAAGCAATGTACTAAACCGCTATATCATCGAGGACGTCAAACCAATTTTAACTAAGATATACTTTGTCACCGTCTTTTAAATTAAAAAAAAATCATTCGTCAGAAAGAGACAAAATAGTACAACATCATTTACACGTCTTTATGAATATGAGAGGAAGTGCTGATAGAAAACGTGGAGCTTTGAAGTCGATAAGCTTACATAGATTTCATTTGCTGCATAAGTTCTTCGAGTGAAAGCTCGGAGGCTGCCACCGCGCCGCCCGTGCTTGACTCCGGAGTGCTGTTATCTACTGGGATGCTGTACGCCACCTGTGATAATGTACAATGAGATAACAAAATGTCTAATTGTCTGTCTACTAATGTTTTTTTTTTATTCTTTTAATGCTTTTTTTTACTTAGTCCCCAAGTATGGTAATGCTTCTTAAGTTAGATTAAGTTTGCTTTAATTAAGTTCTGTTAGTTTTTAAGTAACCCGTCCTAAGAGGCTGAAATCCAGTCACCCAGGAGTTGTTGATGCCCGGGCAAGTGGATCGCCCCGATTCCATCCTTCACCCTTTATGCGAATGACCCGTGTCAGTCAATATAGAGCTTGATTAAAATACAATGGTGAATAAACTTATTTTAAAACTAACATATTATATGTGGATTAAACCATTGACCAATGGAAAATGAAACTGTACACAAAAATGTAGTTTTTTTTGGGAATTTTATTATATTTAATTATATCTGTACTGTTTTTTTCCTAATCATTGGCTCTAATATGATTGATCTCACTCGCCATTCACAGCATAACAGCCGCATGACGCCAGCAGTGTGCGCTAGAGACGACAGAATACTTCGTTCTCTTTCTCTCATTATACCTATTGCAATAAAATCCAAAAAAAAGAAAAATATTTTTACCTGAATACCGTCGACCAGCTTTAAATTGGACGTATCGTCTTCATCTGGCGTGTTTTCGTCCACTAGACTGATTCCTATAATCGACAGACACCCATATATATATTAAAATAAATATATAAATTATTATTATTATATATTATACATACAATAATACTGAATATAAATACGGTACTTACACCAAAATAACATTTTTTACGATCTTTGTTTGTCTGTCTGTATGTTTGTTCTAATCTCTGAACTGGACCGATTTTGACTGGGCTTTTTTTGGCAGGTAGCTGATGTAATAAGGAGTAACTTAGGCTACTTTTATTTTAGAAATATAAAGTTAAATTCCACGCGAACGAAGTCGCGAGTACAGTGTATTTAATAAAATTAAATTCGTAACATGAAAATCCTCGTATCCTCACGGCTACAACAAAATGGATATACTGTAGGATTCAAACTGGAAACCTAATGAATAGACAATGGGTACTGACCCCACTCGTTGTCAGCATGTACAGGGCCGGTATCCTCGGTGACTTCAGTGGCCAGCTCGACTGCGGGCCGCGACCGTACCTCGGCCTGTCGCACCAGACAGTAGCGATCGTCACACTGGGGGTTAGGCTGCGGAGTGAAAACAAAGGATAGTGACAGTAATAGACTAACGACTAACTAAATAGGGTGACGGCCTCGATGGTTTAGCGGTTTAGGACACCGCCTTCCGCTTTCGATGGTCGGGGGTTCGATTCCTAGCAACAATCATACTCATGAATACAAACATTTCTAATCATATGATTCTTTGTCCGGTCTGGTTTTTCTTTTTCATTTTATAGTAATATCTGCCCCTTCCTTTGTGGCGACATCTTTTAGACCTATTAAAAGTGTCCGGTCTGGATGTATTCTATGTATTTTTTTTTATATTTATAAAAAAATCAGTCGTCGAGAACCCACAACACAAGCTCTGGTTACTTGGGTCTAGATAGCGTTGTATGAATTATCCAAGGATAATAACTATATAAATTATGTACTTGCTTACCTTCAAACTCATTGTGGGGAAGAAATCTGTTAATGCACTGTATCCTAAATAATGGCTGACTGTCCCAAACTCCAAAAGATACTTTAGAGTGTTTTGAACTGAAATTAATCATAAAGTACTACATTATCAAATTTTACAACAAATATAGAGACGATTAGAGGGAAGGGAATTGTTAGTAATAACCTACTAGCAATTGTACATTGCTATCAGGTTATTACTCCACATTACTAGTGTCTACTAGTGTCTCTACAGTACTAGTGAGGTACTACTAGTTGAGGCGCTCCCGCTGGAAACCATCGTGGTAAATTGGCATTTGACTTACTGACTTGACCTCATGCTCATCTTAGTTTGTTACTCAAACATCCATACTCACAAACTTTCACGTTTATAATAATACTAGCTGTGGCCGCAGTTTCACCTGCGTTGAATGTCAATAAAAAAATATATGTGTTATCTGCATAAGCTACATTTCTGTAAAGTTTCATCAAAATCCCTTCAGTAGCTTTTGTATGAAAGAGTTACAAACCTCCGTCCATCCATCTATTCATCCATACTGACAAACTTTCGTGTTCATAAAAATAAAAAAATATTCATTAATAAGATTATTTTCAGTATCATAATGTTACCATTATTAGAAAAGAGCTTATTCCTTTTTAAAAGGCCGACAACGTACTTGCAATTCCCCTGGTGTTGCGGGTGCTCATGGGCGGCGGTAATCACTTACCATCAGGTGAGCCGCATGCTCGTTTGTCCCCTGTGTTATATAAAAAAAAATTACCTAAAAATCCAGCTACAATGCCCATAGTGGTGGGGAGGCTGGCCGCGCAGACACCCTCACGCTTCAGCGTCTTCTCGTCGATCTTCGAAGCTACCACCAGCGGCGGGGCGCACTGACAACAGACAATTATGTATATATACACACTACTGGTAACCTCGTGGTCGAAATTCCACAAAATTTAACAAGTCCCGTTAAAATCGGGGTCCAACCATATAAGTGATTAGCCGAAACAGACAGACAGATAGACAGACAAAAATTACAAAAAATGTTTTTTTGGTGTATGTACCGTATTTATATTCATATGCATATAGTAAAAACGGTTATTTCAATATTACAAACAGACACTCCAATTTTAGTTATATGTATAGATTAAAGAGATCGCAACTCACAGCAAAACACGCAGTCTCCCCGGGTATGATGAGCTGTATGTGGCCGGACACAGCGTTCTCACTCACACCGGACTCGAACCAGTTCTGGTTGAGCTCGTTGCAGGCGGTGTTGATCGCCATGCGGGCCTCGAAATTGTCTACACAGCTCAGCACCAGCTCCACAGGGCCGCCCGTCAGACTTCCCGTACTTGTAAAAAAAATTGGTTAACTAATCACCAACTTGCTCGTTCTTGTCATGAGAGAGCTTTCCGAAATTCCGAAAGAGCGGTAGATTAAAAAAATTGTTATGACTATTCAAAAGTGCTTAAATTAAGTTTATTTGAATAAATGATAGTAGTTATAAAGAATAGTCTCATGTGTGGTAGCAACACTGAAAATCAGCGCTGTGGTATATGTATACTACAGTATAAATGCTCAGTGGGAGTCACATTCTTACACGTCACGTTACTAGTATGTTTTAGCTTTTAAATTGTATAGTATATAAGATAGATAGCATGTAAGAATACTGTAATACTGAATAAATGTCTTTATTATTATTATTATAGTTTAGATAGTTGCGGGTAGTAACTGGAAGAGAAGGGCTGAAGACCGTGCCCAGTGGCGTGCCTTGAGAGAGGCCTATGTCCAGCAGTGGGCTAATGATGATGATGAATAAAGGATTTTCTATTCTATTCTATTCTACAAAAGTATAGAAATACTTAATGCACAGGGTTAGTCGGAAAGGGCATAAGGCGCAAAGATATGAAAGTACCCATGGTAATGAACAGCCTGTGTTCTATAACTTTCCCTAGAAAGTATATATTTTTTTTCAATAAAAATGGATTCTAAATCATAAAATACAGCAACAACAAAAAATACAGTCCTAACAACAACAGTCATTAGCCTTATAATAATAGGGAAATATAGAGCGAAATTTTTAGTTATATTAATGAATAACTTGTTATATTAAAATACAATAACAACAAAAGACACAGCCCTAACAACAACAGTCATTAGCCCTATAATAATAGGGAAATATATAGCGAAATTTATAGTTATATTAATGAATAACTTGTTATATTAAAATAGAATAACAACAAAAGACACAGCCCTAACAACAACAGTCATTAGCCCTATAACAATAGGGAAATATATAGCGAAATTTATAGTTATATTAATGAATAACTTGTTATATTAAAATACAATAACAACAAAAGACACAACCCTAACATCAGTTGTCCTTAGCCGTATCATAATAGGAAAATATATAACTAAATGACTGGTTTTTATTAATGAAAAATCTGTTATATTAAAATACAATAACAACAAAAGACACAGCCCTAATATCAGATATCATTAGCCCATAATAGGAAAATATGTAATGAAATTTAAAATTTTTATTAATTAATAACTTGTTATATTAAAATACAATAACAACAAAAGACACAATGTCATTAGCAGTATAATAATAGAACAAATATGTAACATTACTGGTTTTTATTAATGAGAAATCTGTTATATTAAAATACAATAATCACAAAAGACACAGCCCTAACATCAGCTGTCATCGTTACAATAATAGGAAAAATAGTAAAACATTTATTGTTTTATGAATGAAAATCAAAGATGTGATTTTTTAGATACACCTCTACTTCTAATTCATTAATTAAGAATGTCGCTGTTTTGGATTTAATACCAAAGAATAGGTTGTAATATCAATTATTAGTAACCCTGTAAAAAGAAAACACCCGCGACCATCGACAAGACGACTGTATCCTAAACCCTAAGCTGCTGCTTTGTTCAACATAACTATATATCAGCAGCCTAACCTATTAACAGCATAGAGCAGTTTAACTAAAACATATTGTGTTGAGAATTGTATTGTAATAAATATTAATTTCATTCTATAACAAACCTGATGGTGTCACAGAACTTCTGGAAATTCTCAACCGTCGTGATGTTGTAATTGTAGGCATCGATAGCTACATCTGGATTAATATTTTGCAGTGTTGCAGCTGCAGCGTCCACCTTGCTTAGACCGGCTTGGTGCGGTTGGAAGAACAGCCGGTTCATGTTAGCAAACTCCACTTTGTCATAATCAAACAAGATCAACTGCAATTAATTAAGAGTCAAATATAAAAAACCAAGGTTTTATTTAGAATGATTTTATGTAAAATTTCTTTACTCTTCATTAATAAAAAATATATATATTTATAGAGTTAATATTTAGAAATATCTTTCCCATACAATACTAGGCATGGTATAAATGCTCAGGAAGGATTAGGAAGGATCCAGTAAGGAAGATCATTATCTTATTCAGATCCTATTCAAGACAATTTATATAAAAAAACTGGCTTATCAAACAGACAATAATAAAAAATAATTCTTCCCTCTCCGGATAATAACATACAACATAAAGATAAAACAGCCTCAATGGTTAGTGGTGACTAACTAATCAGAAGAAAGGTAGTGTACCCATTATACAAACTGTACTTATCTCGAGACTAGATACAGACAATTCACACAGCATCATGCTATGTGAATGGTCCTGAGATATTAATTATGGCTTGAACTATTTCGCTTTCTTTCATAGGCTTGCTTTCAACATAGATTAATTCCCTTCAATCAATTAATAAGTGTTATAAATCAGTTATACCTTCCCAATACCACATCTGGTGAGCATCTCGGCAGTTACACTTCCAACTCCGCCCACTCCGACCACGGCCACGGACAGCTCACGGATTTTCTCATAGTTATCCACTATACCCATCCTTTTGAGCGCCATTAGTCGACTGACATAGAAGAATACATTATACATAAGTATTACTAAATTTGGATTGTTACTTTATAAAACTTCTCTGCCTGGGGAAAGGGGATTGTTTTTATTTATTGATGACAATGACACACCCATCTGCGCTAACAGTAAGAGGATTTTTTTTATTGATGACAGTAATGGGGTAAACTGGCAGGGCTCCAGTGGAGGATGACAAAATTAGCAAAATCTTAGGTCAAATGACAATTTACCAGAATGGTTTCCAGGGGGAACCATGTGAACCTGTCATGGTACATTGCTAGCAAAGTAATGTGGCTAAGAACCTCATTAGGTTCTTACCCACATTACTAACAAACCCCTTCCTTCCAAAAGGGTAATATTAGCAATGGGGACTTGTTACTCTATTGCTAACTATGAATCATGTAAGCTTAACTTCCATACAATTTTTGGTGAAATTTTCATTTCCTAACCTTATGCTCTTATTATCACAAATCGAAATCCTAATATCATCAATATTATTGTGCTATTTTAAGTGCACAAGCATAATATGCTTTGTTAAAATAAAAGTATGTATATTGATTATTTAAAAACTGAGAGGAAAAATTATGGTAAGATTATATAAATTGTAGCATTACGAACAGATATGTTAAGCACTGTTGAAAATATAAGAAAGCGATTGTGAACTGTATTGTATGTATTGTTTTATTTATAATATTATCTTTTTTATAACATATAAACTTAAAAGAATACCATCACCTATACTCTTAAGCTGACCCCAATGTACATGGTATTTTTAAATTGAGATTTATGTAAAAATTTAAACTTATGAAATAAGTACACATCAAGTAATAATATATAGGTAAGTTTGAAATAATAGTTTCCGACCTACCTGCTTGATTATGTCTTCCAAAATGTGTGAAAATTGTTACAATAATATATATTAGAAACTCCAACAAAAAGTGATTAAAACCTTATTAATAATTTGTTTTAATTTTTAAATAGAGAACTCTGTGTTCTCAAGGGCACAATTGTCTTTTGTTTCTGGGCCTCTTCATTATTTGCTACTGCGCTGTTACATATCGAAATTATAATAAAAATATAGAACTATAATTTAATATACAATTTACTGTTTTATAATTGTTTTTAACGATTACATACACACACCTCATTGAGATTCGCACAATATATTTAAAATGAGACAGATACTTGTAAAGCTTCTATATTATATGCGAAAGTCTCTGTTACATATAATACTTTAATAATTTCTCTATAGTTTGTGATTAAGGATGAAAAAATAGAATTTCTGACAATGGTATACGGTAACATATTGTTATGAAATTCAATTAAATAGAATATTGGAGGCACTCTTACGACTAAACAAAATTAACTTATACATTGTCCTAATACTAAATTAAAAATATTTACACATTAACAATTATTCTTTTGAATAATATTTATTGTTGAACATTGAGTACCTGTAGGGATTTGAGTCGACAACTTCCGAGGACATTACGTCTATTTTCTGTCTAACAGGCCCGGCATTGCCTTGTACGGCAGCCAGCTTAGCTTCCAGCTGCTCCACCTTCTTTTTCAATTCTTCTATCGTAGCCATTTCTACGATGTTTTTGATAAATTACAATAAAATACTCTTGGAAGTGATTCAGTTTAGAATTCGGAATCCACACAGAGGGAGTGACAGATAAAATTGACAACGTCAATAAAAACTGTCAACTTCACGTGGAAATATTGCCATGTAGCACTAGAAAATTGCCATAAAATATTTACATTAACATATTACCTCTTAAGTTAATGTGAATATTTTTTATGTATAATAAATCCTTAGCTTAGATTTTAGAATTTAAGTTAGTTTTAGGAACCAGCCTTAACAGGCTGTCAATCCAGTTACCATAGGTGTTGCAAGTGGAATTGATGGCAAGGCAAATGGATTTGGCCCAAGGACTCAACCTTCGGAGGGTGCAGAAGACCAGTATCAGTCAAAATTTCCATGAATGAATAACATAATTCGTATTCTGCGGCTGCGGGATTTCATACCAATCATATTTTATTAAAACAAGCAATTCGAATATTTATATTACATATATTATTATACTTTCGTGTTCTCTGTAGGTACAGACTACAGATACACAACAACTAAATAATGTTCACGGTATTACTAGAATATAGTACTAGTGGAGAGAAGGGATGGTTAGTAATGTGGACTAATAACCCCATTGTTTGCAATGTACCATGTCAGGTTGACCGCCACATGATTCACCCTGGAAAATTCATTTTTAACCGACCTGACCTCAAGTTCATCTTATCATCATCCACTGGTGCCCCGCCAGCGTAAACCGCTAGTGAGACGGGTGTATCATTCCTTAAGAAAAAATATAGTACCTATTAGTAAATAAGACACGTATATATGTATATGATATACATATTCACGACTATTATTCCAAATAGAGTAGTCTCAAGTGTTTGAATTCAACGCGGCAAGGAGTAAATCTACTGACGGCCATGTGTCTAGTGGTTTAGCATTCTACTTTACTTCCGAAGATCCCCGGTTCGATTCCCTTCACGGTACACACATTTAAATTCATGAATACGAAGGTTTTGTCAGTCTGGGTGTTTTCATTGTATATTATGTATGTATTTATATTAGCTCTCTAGTACCCATAATATAAGGTCTGCTGAGTTTGGGACAAAATGGCGCCGTTTGAATGGTCCAATGATATTATTATTATCAATCTACTGCAGTTTTTGCATTTAATATGTTTTGTTATTGATATTTTCCATCAAAATGAAATTCATCAGAAACAAACTGTTTTGGTATCGACACGATTCGATCTTACGGCATTTGGCTCTACCAAATGTTATTAGAAATATAAGTTGACAATGTTTTGGTTCTAAAAATTCGATCTTACGACCTTTAACTCTATGTCTGTGTAGTGAACGACTAGGCCAATTAGACATCTATAGCTACTATAACGTGATCTACTGACTATAGCCTATTACTGATACATGAATCGAGTAAGTAGGTAAGTTACGCATTGGATAAGGAACCGCTCGCTTGTGTACGTCCTAGCTCCAGCCAGCTATATAAAATTACTGGAACACAATACAGAGTAATTTTAAAGTTATTGTGATCATGTGTACACAAGATATTTAAATAAATTTGAACGTTGTTATTAATTAATCTGTGAAGTCTAAATAACTAATTCGTCAAGACTTTGATAAAGGTATGTAAATCATGTTATTTTTTTAGCAACGTTGATGGCACACCAGTTTAATCATTGCTAATATTATAAATGCGAAAATAACTCTGTCTGTCTATCTGTCGCGCCTTAGACGCCAAAACTACTGAACCGATTTATGCAAATTTTTAACACAGTATTCGTAAAATCGGTTCAGAGACAGTCTGGACACTGAAAAAGGACGTAAGCCGTTGATTAAGTGTAAATAATAGAATAATCCATTTTTGTAAATTTTTTCCCTTAAGGTGGTAAAACAAAAATTTGAATAAAATTTTATATGGAAATTCGCCATTTTTGAGGCTAAATAATTATTTTAATATACTAAAAAAATAATAGACATTAATGTATTTCGTACGGGTGTTTTAATAACTAAGTAAGTACTTATAATTAAGTAAGAAATATTAATATATAAACATTTGACCGCTTTATTTACGATAGTCGCGGATACGATTCCTCGTACGGTACAAACATTTGTATTCAGGAGTATGATTGTTTGTATTGGGTTAGTTATTTTGTATGTATTTAAAAAACATTTAAGTATATCTAACATTTGTCTAGTGTGGATTTCACGGTGTGAATTGTTCAGGGTTATTATTATTATTATTCATGAGTTTGATTATTTGTAGTGGTCTAAATTGTCAGATGATTAAATGTGTATTTATGTATGTGTATGTATATATGTATGTAGCTAGTTATTCATATATATTTGTGAGTTGATGAGTACAGTTTAATATATTTATATTCGCATCGCCAACAAGTATTCTCTGCACCACCCATGGTTGACTCCCCTCCGATCGTCCCCCGTCCAATTCAAACGGGGACCGATGTTAGGACGGCCTGAGCCGAGGTTCGAACCCCCAGCGGTGTTCTCAAACTAAAGTCGTACCCGTCAGGCGGGAGTTGGCCTTCAGCCGCTCCATAAGTCCTTCCGCGGGTTTGGAGTGACATCTGCACTCGCCCCCGGTGAAGCTGTAAAGGCCAGCTGGGGCTAAAAATATTAGAGTAGTCCGAAAAAAAAATCATGGTTGACTGGTAGAACGCGGCAGTGTTAAGTCCGCCATATGTAGTTTAAAATTTTAAAATTATGTGCATTAATATAAATAAATAGTGAAATATTAAATTATATCCGAGTAAAATATTTTTTAACTATTATATTTTTATATTTATATTATTATTACAGAGTTGCGTCGTCTAATTGCGTTGCTTTTTCCTTTGTTTAGTTCTGCCATATTTTTTGGTTTAGGGCACCGCGCCGCACTGATAAGCCAGTAGAAAAAGCATAAAGTAAATTTATACATAAAACTGAAGTGTGCATTGTAATTTAAAATTAGCAGCTGTATATAACAATAAAAGACTGTATATAATAGGCTCATCCTTTATCTCCAGTGATGGAAACACCGACAACAACACAAATTAATCCGAGAGACGGCGACCGACTCGTCCTCTGCTATAAATCTATATAAATAAATAAATTTGAAGCGTCTGTTTGTGATTTCAAATTAACAGCTTATCACTAAATAAAAAAATAAAAGACTAATTTTAAATATTTCGCCGGTATGTCTGTTTGTTCTTGCTAATCTCTGAAACGGCCGGACCGATTTCTACCGATCTGTCGCAGATAGCTAATGTTTTAGTAAGTAACTTTAACTACTTTATTTTTGAACTTTTATTTTTTTTAATAAAGAAACAGTTTATTTCCTAGCACACAAAATCGCGCGTAATAACCAGTTCTAAATAAGTAAATAATATATATAATATATTAGACCTGTAGAATGCTGCGAGCTTCGACCAGTGGAGAGAGGACTCCGCTGGTGCAGCCCACGTACGCGTTTGAGTCCAGTTTGACGCGCAACTACCAGAAGCGGCTGCGCAGCTTCCAATGCGTCATTTGCGCTTCTTTATTGTAAGTTATAACTATTTACTACACATTACTCTTACACTTACTGACAATCCGTTAAAAAAATGTCGCGGGTTCGATTCCTCGTAAGGTACATGAAGCGGAGGTATCAAATGTGTCTGATGAGTGAGAGGTGCTGAGGGTATTAATGAGGAAAATACGGAGATAAAATAAAATGCGACTAGTATGACAGCGATATATAATAGAAAGTAACAAAAGGAATATGTCAAAGAATATTATTATAAAATTTAAAAATAGTACAAAAACCTATCAAGGAGTTCGCTACAGTACAGTACAAACACACGTTTGTATTCATGAGTAAGATTATTTGTATCGATCTCGGTGTTTTCTGGTTTTGTTTATTGATGAAAAATGGTGCTGCGCTAACCACCAGGCACCAGTGGATGATGATTCTTTCATGATAAGAATTTATCAGGTTTCCAGGAGGGACCGCATGGAGGTCAACCTGACATTACATTACTAGCAGACGGGTTATTAATCCATATTTGTCTATTTGCCCATAAAAAAATCATGTATTCCACATACAAGAGTCTCTCAGAATTTTGATAAGATAGATCGACGTACTAATCCTGCGCAGACGAAGTCGCGGTCTGCAGTCAGTAATAATATATGAAATACTAGCTGACCCTCGCAACCTCGTCTGGATCACACTTACTTGACATTTATCAAGTATTTCGTCCAATTTACATAATATGTTTTTAAGTTACACTATACACTATACACACCGGAAGACGCAGCGTGGGAATGCCTCCAGCAAGGTGGACCGACGATCTGGTCAAGATCGCTGGAAGGCATTGGATGCGAGCAGCGCAGGACCGATCGTCGTGGAGATCTTTGGGGGAGGCCTATGACCAGCAGTGGACGTCTTCCGGGCTGCGATGATGATAATGATGATGATACACTATGTTTTAATTTGATATATAAGCTTATATGTATAATATATATAATATATAAGCTATATTACTGTAAATATTGATCAATATCCGTTTAGTAGTTGTTGCGTGAAAGAGTAACAAATATCCATGACGGCCTCGGTGGTCTAGCGGCTTAGCACGCCGCCTTACTTCCGATCATATGTTATCTGTGCTTCCGATGGTCGCGGGTTCGATTTCTCGCACGGTACAAACGACGACATTCATGAGTATGATTGTTTGTATCGGTTTCGGTATTTTCTATGTATAATATGTATGTATTTAAGAAAAAGAAACATATCTTATGCATTTGTATCATGTGTCTAGTACCCATAATACAAGCTTTAGGTAGCTTAATTTGGGTCTAGATGGCGCTGTGGGAATTGTCCTGAAATTATTTCTTGTTATCCTTCCATCCATCCATACTCCCAAAATATAACAAGAAGGTGAGCCGAATAATTTATTTATTTATTTATTCATTTTAAAACATATTAATATTACAAAATTGATTATACATTGGACCCCGCACTAGGCGAGCCTGTATCGCGGGAGTCCACAAAAGAATTGCCAAATAATTATTAACTATTACAGATCAGTGAGTTTGACATATCAGACTAATTAATTTTTTTAGTTTGATTTCATAAAACACAATTGTTGACTGCATAAAAATTAAATAAAATAAACAGAGAAAACAAAATAAAAAGAGAAAATTTCAAGTTCACGTTACAATTTTTTTTTTCTCTTTGTTCTTGCGATGAAATGTGTATAGTCCATAAATTACTCAAATTATACTCTGTTAACGTTCTTATTAAATTATTGATTGTTTGGGATTGTAGGTTATAGGACAGATGAATTTATAGATGATAGCAATATATAGCAAGTATAAGTTTATTTGCGAACAACGTTATAATTTAATTTTCACACTGCTTTCTTGATATATGATAGCGTAGCGGCTTTTATATTGATTGCCGCATGCATCCGTATGTAAAGTGCGAATACTGTAACTACCATATAGTAATTTTTGTAGTGTGACGTGGTCGAGTGGAATGAGTAGTCATGCTCACTAAAATGTCCAGACCAGTGGCGGCGTGGTGGGCCGGGTCATTGGGCTCCCTAAAATATGGTCGAGCGCAGTGATGTCTGGCTCATCCGTCATACTCGTGAACGAGTGCTGCTTGTAGGGACTGGTCTGCTCTTATCACTACGACTGATTTAATCTTATTGTGTTTTTATATTTGAGCCTAAATAAATTAGTGCTGGTTGGTAGTTTGTCTTCACACGTTTCGACTTGTAAAATGTAAACTTACAAGGATTGTTTAAAAGAGCAACACACAAGTTTCTTGCTTATTCTTCTTGTGATGAGACAGCTTTCCGAATAAGCGGTAGATTTAAAAAAAATGTTGACTATTCTATTCTATTCTATACAATCCCAAAGATTGTACATTATCTCTGATGCTACTGAACAAATTTTAAATCGCATTACTATTTAAAATTTGTTAAATGGCATCAGAGTCTAATTTTTGTATGTAATGTTTTACCTTGAGTTTAGCTTCAATCTTGTTAATATTATCTAACTTGCAAAGCGCATTAATTTTTTTATATAAGAATGTAGTAAGATCATTGTTACATGTTAGGATAATTCTTGCGGTGGCCTTGCTGGTGACTGTGTCTTTGAACCTGGATGATGATGACGAGGGGACTAACAATAGTACAGCTGTGACACCCATCGTTATTGTACCCGCTAACCTGACCGGGGTTTCTTCACAGTTGGCACCGCTGCTGCGACTCAAGTGGCCATTGAGAGGTACACTTACTTTATAGTTAAAAAAGATAATTTAAGAGAAAAATTATTACTTAACCTTAAAAACTAGTTACCCGCCCCGGCTTCATACAGATGTACATGTATTATATACATATAAATCTTCCTTTTGAAACACTCTATCTATTGCCAAAACTTAATTAAAATCTGTAGCGTAGTTTAAAAGATCTAAATGAAGAGACAGTGGGTGCGCCTTCATTTTATACTATATGTATACAGTTGACAAACATGCATGGCAATTATTCATTCACACGGAATTTTCATTTAATGTTAGACATAGACACCTATACAATACAATAAAATGTAAATAAAACGACGTTAAAAAAAGTAGATTAGAAATTCAGCTGAGTTTCTTGCCAGTTCTTTTCGATTGAATGTGTACACTGACGGATGGCAGGGTAAAATAGTAATACAAAAGACGTTTTAAGCGGCAAAAATGTCCTACATAAATAAAATATTTTTTATTTGATTTGATTTATTTATTATGAAATTTACAAATATAACAAAATTGATTATACATACTTTGGACCCCGCACTAGGCGAACCTGTATCGCGGGAGTCCACAAAAGAATTGCTAGATGATTAATAACTGTTACAGATCACTGAGGGGAGTAGATTTAACATATATGTTTATATATAACCTATTGTTTTATTATTTACTAGCTACTGGTCGCGGCTTCGCTCGGTGTACATGTATTATACATATAAACCTTTCTCTTGAATCACTCTATCTATTAAAAAACCCGCTTCAAAATCCGTTGCGTACTTCTAAAGATTTAAGTATATATAGGGACAGACAAACAGCGACAGCGACTTTGTTTTATAATATGTAGTGATAGTCAAGATCTTATATTTATACGCCTGCAACTAAATAACGTATTTAACTATAAATATGCTATAGTCTGATGATATTTACCAACGTTTCTGTCCAGCTCGCTCCCCACCACAGTGGGCGGGTAAGAATGAAACAAAAGACATCGAGTTCGCAGTGACTATTGGAAAGAATGCATTACTAAATCGAACAACACTTGAGAGTACAAGGAAAGCTCTGGATATAAATACACCAGCACTGAAGGCACAGAGAGCGTCAGCCACGTCTGCAGCTGTGAAACCGATGGCGGATGCTGCGTACGCTGTAGAAGAAGCCACCAAGGTTTTAATCAATGGGTAAGTACCTATACCTGAAGTAAATTTCAAATTAATAACTAATAACTAAGCAGGAAGAACTAAATCATCATCTGTTTCTTCTTTATCCCATTTATTTGGGGTCGGCGTAATAAATGGGTTAAGAAAGAAGTAAGAATCACTAAATCTAATAAAATATATCGTTTATTTGTTTGTTACTAATCACACACAACATGTTCATAAGAATAGATAATACATAATACAACATAAGATTTATAAAATTGTGTTATTATGTGTGATCTGTACCAATTCAAAAAGTCGACCTATTTGTATAGCTCAGCGTGGAACATTGTTCAGGGAACAAAATACTGATTTCCAGTTTTAACCCACGTGAAAATAATAATTAAAATAAAAAGAGCAATATTATTGGTGATTGTCTGTGCGGTGTGTGTATAATAAAAATAATGTAAATAGTTCAGAGTATAATTTGATATAATTTTAATTGAGTGGTAAGGATTAAACGAAAAAAAAGAAAATATTAATAAGAGTAACATAGAAATTAAATCCAAAACGCTAATAACGGGCTACTCTAGTAAATAATATAATAGACTTATACATATGATCTTATCTGTGCTAATAAAAATGAGGAATAACAATGTATATAATATATGCAGCATGACTAAGGTCCTCACTGAACACTGCAAATTAAAATTAAACAAACATGTCAAACTCAGGCCAGTACCTATTTCGGACACCTCGTAACTCAACACGAAGCACTAAATCAATGGCAGAAAATGCCAGGATTGGTACATTCAAAAGACTTAATAACGGACAACACGAATCAATACTCCAATAGGTTAATGCTATAGAGTAAAAACAATATATGCATCATGACTAGTAGAGCAAGAGCCCTCGATGGCCAGACATTCGTCTTATTAGTAAATGTGAAAGTTCTTGTATATGTGTCCCCGACACAGGTATGGACGATCCCCAGATGAAACCTGGATCGTGGTTCCTTTGGCAGGTAACAGGTAAAAAAAAATAGAAGAACTTTCACATTTACTTATAAGACGAATGTCTGGCCATCGTGGGCTCTTGCTCTATTAGTCAGGATGGCCCTCACTGATTCCTGCAAATTAAATCAACATGTCAATAAGTTTGATATGTTTATTTCATTCGTAGTGGCCGGTGTCTATTTCTTTTTTATTGAGTGGTTTGGCTTGGCTTTTTCATATGCCTTAGACCTGTAGCACTGCGACCTACATAGATCTATTGTGCTCGCCCTCTTTCAGAGTTCGCCACCTAGACTCGTCAGGAACTAGAATTGAAGGATATTCTTAGGAACGATGGTTTCTAACTCCTCAGGACAGAGTGTATTATTCAAAGGAGATATTTCGTTTATGCATGAGTTAGCTACAACTACATAAGATGTGTACTGACGTGTAGCGTAGGTCTAAGTTTCCCATATGTTTATTAAATTTGCAGTGTGCAGTGATGATGTATATATTGTTTTTACTCAATAGCAATAGTCTATTGGAGTATTGATTCGAATAGCCTGTTTTAAGGCTTTTGAATTTACTAATCCTGGCATATTCTGCTCGCGATTTAGTCCTTCCTGTTTGGTTATTAATTTTAGAAGTCTAAGTTTTAGGCAACGAGGCACGCCACAGAAGGTTTCAGAGCTCTATTGGGTGGTTTTAATTTGGCCGGTGCCTAACAAAGATTTGCAGATTTTGCCAAATGGAGGACTTTATTTTCTTCTAAAATCTAGTACGCACTGAGGATATATAATAGGAGTTTCAAATGCCTATTTGGCGGGTTATTGTAATTTGGTTCATGTACCAACTACACACAGCTCAGATTGCAATAACCACAAAGAAGTCAATTGACCTAATATAAGACGGGATGCCAGTATTGACTCAATTATTATTAAACCGTTGCAATTTTAGAATCTATAGTGCATCATATGCTGCATATGTCGTCACCCGCTTTACTTGCGATAGGTTCGATTCCTCGCACGATATAAAAATATATTCATGAATGTTTGTTTGTATCGGTCTGGATGTTTTCTATGTGTATTATGTATATATTAACACAAACTTTGCTTAGTTTGGGGCTTGATGGCGCTGTGTAAAATGTCCCGGGATATTTTTATTACATTTTACTATTGTTACTCAGTATGTAAGATCAAATGATCAATATCTCTCTCATCTGTTAATATACATCGTCTCAACCTACAACATCATATTATAATCCCACATCACGTTTACTTTAGAATTATATAAATTTAGAACTTTTTACTTAAATAAGATCATTATTAAGCGTGCGTTATGTATATGAAGCTATATAATCAAAAATTAGAACAGTGTCCGGCCTCGGACGGCGACCGTTATCCGATCCGGTAAACCACAAAAGTACGTGGGCCGCCAGTTTGGCTACACGGCTTCATCTTGCTTCATTGGCTGCGTATACATTACCGACTCCACAAAGACGGGTGTCCGGTGACAGATCAATACTGATACCAATGTACGGTTTTCAATTCGCGGACTAAACCGGTGAATGCGAGTTTAAAACCCTATTTACATTATTTAAATTATTAACCGGGTCTTAACACGAATAATTTTATGGCAAATATAGGTATTTACCTCTCTCGACGTTTCGACTAGGTTGCACTAGCCGTGGTCACGAGCTGACTGGAGTAACAGCGATGTCAATGTAGATAGGTGACAGCAGTTTTTTCTTCATCTACCGTCTCTAGATTGTTTAACGAAAGTTCGCGACACACAGCACTCACGGTATCCGTACACTTATTGACTATTGATGCTACTGAACTTTGCTTGAATTTATTTATGACTGGATTATTAATTACTTATTTGCCATAAAATTATTCGTGTTAAGACCCGGTTAATAATTTAAATAATGTATATTAAACATGAAAGTTTAAAATTAACTAAAACCCTATTTGTATCGATCTGGCTGTTTCCTATGTATAATATGTATGTATTTACGAAATAAAACATATCTATGTATTTGTATCAGTTATCTAGTATCCATAACACAAGCTTTAGGTAGCTTAACTTGGTTCTAGATGGCGCTGTGTGAATTGTCCTGAGATTATTATTATTATGTATTAATAATAATAATGTATTTAAGTGAAAACAAAAGTACCTACTAAAAAAAGTAATAACACCTTGGACGTCAAAAACAGTTGTTTGTCGTGTTTAGTACCATCTCACCTGGACGGCAAGGTGGCAGTGGTCAAGGACCGTCCACCAGCGGCTCCTTCCCGGAGCCACCCTACTGCCACCCACCGCCGCCCTGCCCACCATCCAAGTACAGAAGCCAGGACGGCTCGTGCAACAACTTAAAACATCCATCGAGGTGGGGTGTATCACATACACCATTTAGAAGGGTGCTGCCAGCTGATTTTGGAGATGGTAAGGGTGTATTTAGACATTTTTTTTTATTCCAAGAAATGTATGGGGAATTATACTTTTTTTATTATAACAACTATCTTTTTATATCTTATAAGATTCTTATAAGATCTGCGAGTGAAAGTCCCGTCACAATCAGTCTAGCCGTTTCAGAGATTGTTTTTATATAAGTACAGTATATGATTTCTTTCTGTCAAAAACCGTTAATTTGAAATTACAGACAGACATTTCTATTTTATTTATTACTAGCTAACCGCCCCGGCTTCACACGGGTGTACTTCTATTATACATATAAATCTTCCTCGTGAATCACTCTATCTATTGCTAAGAACTGCATTAAAATCCGTTGCGTAGTTTAAAAGATCTCAGCGAACAGACAACGGAAGCGACTTAATTTTATACTATGTAAAGATGTAAAGAATATATATCTGTATGTATTTTTTTTATCTATAATACTATAATAGTGGAATGAATGCACCCGCCTGTGCTAACGCTGGCGGGGCACCAATGTGCAAATGCCTGCGCTAACGGTATACGCTGGCGGGGCACCATTGTAGGATGATAAGAGGAATATGAGGCCAGGTCAGTTAGCCCAACGTGAGAAATTCACCTGGAATTTATCACGTGGTTTTCAAGGGGAACCACGTGGAGGTCGACCTGACATGGTACATTGCTAGCAATGGGGGGGTACTCATCGGTTCACATTACTAACAATCCCCTTTCCCCCTTTATGTGTTAAACAGTATTTTTATCGGTCTGTCTTAGTCATCATCATTGCCTTGCCTTTATCCCATTATTTGGGGTCGGCGCAGTATGTCATTCTCTTCCACTGCTCTCTATCAGTCGTCATATCTAAACATACTCTTCTTTTATTCATATCATCTTTCACACAATCCATCCATCTTTTCTTAGGGCGTCCCCTCCCTTTACATCCATCCACATTCATATTATACACTTTCCATAAGACATGGTCCTCATTCCTCCGCATAACATGCCCATACCAGCTCAATCTGTTACCTCGCAACTTTTCTATAACCGGCGCAACTTTCAAACTTCCTCGTATATACTCATTCCTCATTCCTGGTAACCCCACACATCCATCTTAACATTCGCATTTCTGCCACATGCACACGCCTTTCGTCCATCCCCTTTACGGCCCAACATTCAGATCCATACAAAATGACAGGTCTTATGATAGATTTATAAACTTTACCCTTTAGTTTCAAGGGCATTCGGGGGTCGCATATCGTTCCCGAGACCTGTCGCCATTTCATCCATCCCGCACTAATTCTGTGCCTTACATCGCGGTCTATGTCGGCATTGTTCTGAATAACTGAACCGAGGTACCGAAAAACGGAGCAGACCGGAAGCATTACACCGTTTAGATAGATAGGCTTGAAACTGGAGAGACCGCCGAAATCGCAGAATAGGTATTCAGTTTTAGTTCTGCTGATCTTCAAGCCAACACTCTCCAGTTTTTCTTGCCATCTATCTAGTCTTAGTATATAAGAAAATAATGAAAGACGGTTTTTTTATTTGATGATAATGGAATGGTACACCCGCCTGTGGTAACGCTATACGCTGGCGGGGCACCAGTGGAGGATGATAGGATGAACATGAAGTCAGGTCAGGTTAGCCCAACGTGACAAATTCACCGGGAACTTATCACGATGGTTTCCAGGGGGAACCGCGTGGAGGTCGACCTGACATGGTACATTGCTAGCAATGGGATCATTAGTCCACATTACTAACAATCCCCATCTGTTGATAACATTACCTGGAAAGGTTTAGACGTTATATATATATCGACATACATTCAAAATGTTCTTACTTCAATGCTTTCGATATTTCTAACACCTACCCCTATTGAAAAAGGTATTATTTATATTATGTCTAAAACTGCGATATAATCACGATCCAATTCCAGGGATCAGCTCCCCTCGCAGGAGTAAGTCGGGGGCTGAGCTGCCCAGCGCCCGCGACGTCAGTGTGACGGTCCACCGTCCGAGCTACGCTCAGGATACTAGCTTCACAGTGATGCTGGCCGTTTGGGGGCAGTTCATTGATCATGACGTCACTGCCACGGCTCTGAGTAAAGGTGAATTGACATCAAAATTAAAAATGCATAAGTCTTTATCCTATGTCAATAAAAATGTAAGACTAGCTGTTCCCGTGGCTTCGTCCGCTTGACATTGGATAGCATTTTTAATTATTTAGGCTGATTATAAAAAGCCAGAATAAAAAGTTTCATCGGGCTATCATCAAATATGACGTATTTCCATACAAACTTTGATAAACATTCATACTCTATTTTATTTTACTTTCCGAAGGATAACATTTTTACAAAGTTGTGTTACATTTTTACTAAAAATGACTTATTTATACCTACATTTTTATTTTTAACAACTTAAAAAATAAGTCAACCTTTCATCTGCTCTTTCAACCCCTTACAATCCTTTTTAAGAACGAGAAACAAACTTACGTGTTGCTCTTTTAAATAAATGTTATTCTCAGTATACAAATATTAACAAGGACTAGGCATGCGATAATCAATATAGAAACCGCGAAATAATATGCCCAATCATTCTATTACAGGAGCGAACAGCAGTTCTTTGGCCTGTTGTGACACAAGCCAGGCACCGCATCCAGAATGCTTTCCTGTACCTCTGGACAAAGAAGACCCTTTCTACCAGCATTATAACCTCACCTGCATGGAGTTTGTAAGGTCCGCACCGGCGCCTACATGTCATTTCGGTATGTAGAGAATACTAGAACATTTATCTAAACCTGCATTAGCAGACTCCTAACAGATTTGGCTGGGCAGGGAGAGAAACACAGGGAAATTTAATGGAATGTAGTCAAAATTAAGAAACAAACGAATTAACGAAATATGGCTATATTCATCGAAGTGGAAGCGAGAGGTTTACCAGCGAAATCTCAAATTCAAATTCAAAATATCTTTATTCATGTGGGTCTATTAAAGACTCTTATGATATGTCAAATCTACCGTCAGTTCGAAATGATTTAGAGATGAGAAGAACTGACAAGAAACTCAGCTCGTATTCTTTTCAAATAAATGTTATACATGTTTACAATAATACAGATTCATTTTGAATTTCAAATTTGGGAGAATAGAGTGACCACCAGCATATGCTATTGCAAAAGTGAATAGTCGAATCAGTATTCGTAACCGAAATAGACCAGTCCAAGCAATGCACGTTCACGAGTATCATGGATTAGCCAACCATATTAGAGGGAGCATATTGCCCCGGCCCACCACGCCGCCACAAGTTTGAACTTTATACCGAGCATGACTGTTGCAATCTCATTAAAGATCTTAATCTATCTAGAGCTGCAGTAAGTTCTATACCATGTATCTAAAGCTGCACTAGCAGGCTCCTTTGACTGGGCAGGGAGAGAAGCACGAGCAAATGAATATACGAACTAAAAAAATATGGCTATGTGGTCAATTTATACGTGGATTGGAAGCGAGGTGTACCAGCGAAATCTCTCTAGAATCTTCTAAAAGATCTTAGCCTGCCTAGACCTGCAGTAAATTATATATTAGAACGTGTATCTAAAGCTGCACTAGCAGGGTCCTACCAGGTTTGGTTGGGCAGCAAAAGAAACATCGGCAAGGAGCCCCTTAAACCTACACCCAGGTCGCAAGTCCCGGGAACTGGGAGCAACAGGGAGTGACAACACGCGATTCAACTCACGATTATTCTAGATGTGGTTTTCAAATGTCGACATTTTGTTGAACTCAACACTTGGTTCGATTCCTCGCGCGGCACAAACATTTGTATTCATGAGTATGATTATCTGGGTCTTTTCTATTATGTATGTATTTACAAAAAAAAAGTTGTCTAGTACCCATATCACAAGCTCGGTTTAGCTTGAAACTAAATAGCGCTGTGTGAATTATTCTGAGTTATTATTACTATAGAAAACACGTAAACCACTAACAGTAATATCCAAGAATATAAATATTTGCAACGTCCGAGGAATCTAACCGGCGACCACTGAAAGTAAAGCAAGCACATCGCTTTACTTAACCGCTAGACCACCGTGACTTCTGCTCTTAAGACCATTTAACTCTCTTTCACAAACGCTGTGTAATTATTCATATAAAAGAAAATCTATATACTACAAAAGAGCAAGACAAGTTTCTTGCTCATTCTTCTTGTGATGAATCTACGTTCCGAATGATCGATAGAATCAAAAATATGACTATTCAAAAGTGCTTGTAAACAAAAGAACCCCGTACGAAGAATGAAACCCACAACAATTGAAAGTAAAGGGATGTGCTAAACCGCTAGACCACCGAGTGATGGCCTCGGTGTGTGTCTTTTAGTCTTTCTCAGAGACTCATTTAAATGTTAGATCCATTGCCGTACAGGTCCTCGCGAGCAAATGAACCAAGCCACAGCTTTCCTCGACGGGTCCACTGTGTACGGTTTCACGGAGCAACGGGCGAATCAGCTGCGTCTGGGAGTAGGCGGCCGGCTCCGGATGTTGAGCGTGGGCAGCGTGGAGCTGCTGCCGCCGTCCACCGACCCTACCGACGGATGCAACACGCTTGAGATGAACGCAAAAGGACGCTACTGTTTTGAAACCGGTTAGTATTTCTTATACAGGGTTAATCGGTAAGGGTATAGGTACTAAGCAGCTAGGACTACAACATATTAGTAACTAGCTGTACCCGCGACTTCGTCCGCCTGGAATTGAACTTTATTTTACTAAAATAAAAAAAAATCTAAAATAAAAGTAGCCTAAGTTACTCCTTATCCTTACGGCCCATCCTTTTCAGAGATTAGCCGGAACAGACAGACAGACAAAATTAAAAAAAAATATTATTTTGGTGTATGTATCGTATTCATATGCACGTAGTAAAAAACAGTTATTTCAATATTACAAACAGACACTCCAATTTTATTTATATTTATAGATGTATAGATTATTTAACGTGTATTAATTAAATAACAAAATTAATTACATATAATTTATTATTTATGAAGACACATCATCAATTTTACAATCCAGGTGATGATAGAGCCAACGAAAATCTCCATCTAACCACGATGCACCTGATCTGGGCGCGGCAGCACAACCGCCTGGCTGCCATCTTGGGTAAACTCAACCCGAATTGGGACGACGAAACCATATACCAGGAGGCAAGAAAGATAGTCGGCGCCCAGATGCAGCACATCACGTACTCCGAATTCTTACCTTCCATACTAGGTATTTATTTATTTATTTATACATTAAACCTTTAATCATTCTTTCATTCGTTCTTTCATTCATTCTGTCATTCATTCTATCATTTATTCTTTCATTCATTCTGTCATTCATTCTATCATTCATTCTGTCATTGATTATTACATTGATTCTTTCATTCATTATTTCATTCATTCTGTCATTCATTCTTTCATTTATTCTGTCATTGATTATTTCATTGATTCTTTCAGACATTCTGTCATTCATTCTTTCATTCATTCTTGTATTCGTTCATTTTTTATTTGTTACAAAAACATTATCATTTTAATTATTATGGAAGACAAAGCTTCTGTGTATATGTCAGCATCTTGGACCTTACCTAAAGATAAATTTATTAGTTGCAATGCTATCATAGTGTGCATGTACGTACCGCCGTATATATGTGTTCTACAATTAGAATAACTCAGATAAGATAATATTACATAATAACAATAACCCTGCAATCTCATCCCATCCCAAACTCATCGTGCGCAAACTCTGGTTCTACACTTTGACAACCACTGTTTTCGAGCAAAATAATAATAGCAATAACGTTGGTTAGGGGGGAAAGGGGACTGTTAGTAATGTGGAGTAATTACCCCATTGTTAGCAACGTACCATGTTATTTTTTTTTTTTTATTGGGTTGTTTGGGCTATTGTCAGATGTGTAGCACCTGTAGCACTGCGACCTACATAGATCTATTGTGCTCGCCCTTTTCAGAGTTCGCTACCTAGACCCGTCAGGGACAAGAATTGAAGGATATTCTTAGGAGCGATCGTTTTTATCTCCTCGGGAAAGAGTGTAAACTTTCCAAAGGAGATATTTCGTTTATGCATGAGTGGGCTACAACCACATAGGATGTGAAGCGGCGTTTCCTCTTCAGCTTGGCAGAATCTGCAGATACTTGTCGTGCATAGGCCTAGCTTAGCCATATGCTTGTTCAATTTGCAGTGTCCTGTGAGGGCCCTAGTCATCATGCATATGTTGTTTTTACTCAATTGCAGTAATCTATTGGAGTATTTGGTCGAGAAGCCCGATATAAGGTCTTTTGAATGTATTAATCCTGGCATTTCTTGCCAGTGATTCAGTGCTTCTCGTTTGGTTATTAATTTGAGATGTCCCAGTTTTAGGCAACGAGGCACACCACAGAAGGGTTCGGGGCCCAGTTGGACGGTTTTTGCCCCTAACTTTGCCAGATGGTCGGCATTCTCATTACCTTCAATATTTGAATGCCCGGGGACCCATCTCAGTATAATATTATTTCTGCTTCCTACTTCATTTAGTAGCAGGATACAGTTTCTAATAAGTTTAGAACGGATTTCGTACGAGTTAAGTGCTAGTAGAGCAGCTTGACTGTCCGAATAAATGTATATGTCCTGATTGATGTAGTTGAGGCTTAGGATTACTTCCAGACATCTAATTAAGGCGTAAGTCTCTGCCTGAAAGATTGAGGCGTATTTTCCTAAGCCTATATAGTTGCAGATTTTGGGTTTTACACCACATATTCCACATCCTACATCATCTCCTATTTTGGACCCGTCTGTAAACCAGACTAGGTCATGCTCTGAGTGAGACGGTGTATGGTTATTTTGCCATTCGTCTCTTCCAGATATTTCGATTTTGTAATATTGTACAAAGTTACACTCTGGTGCCATGTTGTCTTCAGGCATTCCCAGAATAGGATCACTCATAATCGAGTCTTGTATAGTTTTTATGGCCAGGGAATGCCAAGATATCCTCCTTTGGGAACTTATTCTGAGCATATTGGCTTTCGCCTTTTCCTGTATGAATAGAGGAAGGGGCGTCAAGTCCAATAATGCGTCTAGAGCTGCTCCCGGCGTGGTGCTCATGGCTCCTGTAATAATCAGACAAGCAATTCTCTGTAGGCTGTTTAGCTTGGTGGCAGCTGTGGATTGGAGGGTTTTCCTCCACCAGATTGCGCAGGCATAGGTGGTAAGCGGTCTCACCACTGCTGTGTAAAGCCATAGGGCAATTTTGGGGTTGATTCCCCATCTGGGCCCCGCTACCCGTCGGCTTATACCTAGGGATGTTTTCGCCTTTTGAGTTATGTTGTCTATGTGTGTGTTCCATGTCAGTTTTTGGTCGAAGGTTACGCCCAGGTACTTGACTTCTTTGGAGCACTCTAATATTCTTCCATTTACTTTAGGCATGACAAGTTTGTCAAGTTTCTTCCTTTTTATAAACGGAACAATTACTGTTTTATCAGGATTTACTGATAATTCATTTTCTTTACACCATTTAACTATGATGTTTAGTGCTCTTTGGATGCGGTCTGATATTGTTGTTGCACAGAACCCTCTGACCATGACTACTAAATCGTCTGCGTAGCCTTGTACCTCAAATTGGTTTTTGGTCATAACATCTAAGAGCTGGTCTACCGTTAGTAGCCACAGCAGTGGCGATAAAACGCCTCCTTGAGGGCATCCTTTGGTAGGTCGGATTTCTAACGTACTGTTGTGAAGAGTAGTTTTAATGGTTCGATTTGAGAGCATTGCTTTGATCCATTGAGTAGTGGTTTCATCCACTTTCTTGCGGATGAGTCCCTGTGAGATGGTCTCTATGGGCGTGTTATCAAAAGCACCCTCAATATCGAGAAATGCACATAGAGCTATTTGTTTGTCCTCTAAGGCCTTCTCGACCTTGTCGGTGAGTTCGAGCAAGGCGGTCTCTGTGGAATGTCCCTTGCGGTAGGCATGTTGATTCCTGTGCAGGGGAGCATTTTCGAGGATTGTAGCTCTAATGTGTTGGTCCAGAACCTTTTCCATGGTTTTTATTATGAAAGAGGTTAGGCTTATAGGTCTGTGAGACTTTGGCTGCGAGTAGTCTCTTCGACCGGTTTTCGGTACGTAGGTAACTTTGACCTGCGTTAATGGTTCTGGTATAAAACCCCAGGCAAAGCTGGCTCTAAATATTCTTACCAGATAGGGAGATAGGATGTCAAGCCCTTGTTGTAACAGGGCCGGGAAAATTCCATCTTCTCCCGATGATTTATATGGCTTGAAAGATTTTATAGCCCATATAATTTGTTTTGGTCGAAAAATCCTCGCAGCTCTGTTCCACGCCTCATGGTTGGGCTTTTGTAGATGTGAGCTTGGAGGGTTCTCCTTATCTCTTGAGATATGAACCGAACCAGGGAAGTGGGTTGTAGATAGCAGCTGTAGAGTTTCTTCCTCTGATGTCGTATAGGTACCATTGGGCCTTTTCATAAGTCCAATTTGGTTATTTGGCGCCTTGGCAAGCATTTTGTGTAATCTGGATCCTTGGGGAGTCTGAGTTATCTCCTCGCAGAAAGCACGCCATGATGCTCTTTTGGCTTTCCTAATTTCGCAGTAGTATTCCGTTTGGGCTTTACTATATTGGGCCCATTCGAAAGGTCCCTTTTTAGCCCTGTTGGATAATTTGCGAGTTTTCTTCCTCAGCTTTTCTAGACTCTTATTCCACCAGGGTGTTTTACATTTGGCGGTTTTGGTTTTGATGGGACAGTTGTTCTGGTAGGCACTTATTATGCCACTTAGAAGTATGTCCACAGCGAGTTCTAGTTCTAGAGGAGATTTGATACTCTTCGGAAGGTCCGCAATTAGGCTTGTAAGACTGTCTCTGTATTTAGGCCAATCTGTAGCCTTTGGGTTTCTGTAGAGTATGGGGTTTGAGTCTGTTGCAGCCTCAATTGTGAATCTGATGTGCTTGTGATCAGACATGAAGTTCTCATTGCTGACATGCCAATGAGTGATATATTCGGCCAGTTTGTCGGTCGCGAGTGTTATATCTAGTACCTCTTGTCTTGTGGCAGTGACGAACGTCGGTGTGCACCCTGTATTTAGGATTTGAAGACAGTTGGTTAGTATAAAATCATCAAGTGACTTACCTCTGGTGTTGATGTCAGAGCTTCCCCAGTTTGTGTGATGGGCGTTTGCATCGCAGCCCACGAGGAGTTCGGCCTTGTGCTTACGGGCGTATTCCACCACAGGCTGTAGGCCGGTTGTCGGGTCTTTGATGATTTTGTTGTTTTCATCATGTCCAGGTAGGTATGCAGAGCAGACCAGTACTTTTGACCCTGTGCATCCAGGGAAATTGACGAAGGCTGTCACTAGGTCATCTGTACATAGTTCTGGAACAGTCAGAAAATCTAGTTTCTTATTAAAAAGAATGCATGCTCTAGGTTTAGTGCCAGTGGTATTAAAAAGAATATTACCTGAGGCATTGAGGCCTAAAGGCGTGGCTTTGTTGAGCCATGGCTCTTGTATCAGAGCAAGGTCCAGGTCGTTTTTGCGGAAGAGGTTTTCTATGACCGCTGTTGCTGCCATAGCATGATGTAAGTTGACCTGGACAATGTTGGCTCTGATACATTGCTTGCGTGTGGGCGTGTTAGCAGCTTCCTTTCGCCTTCCCTGTGGGACGTGGGCGTCCCTTTGGGTTGCGATTGGAAGCTGTGGCGCTCCTGCCGCGATCTTTCCGTCCCGTCTTGAAACTGGGGATCCTCGTCTGCGAGGTCCCCTTTGGCTGGGGAAAGCTGCCTCTGGCGGGTTTGGCGTTGGTGTCTACGCCCTTCGCCGCTTCGGATGGTGTGGGTATTCCTGTGGCAGATCTTCCATTACCGTCCGAAGTAGGCTGCTGTGTAGGCGTGGAGATCCCCTTGACCCGGAACAGGACCTTTTTAAAGCCAAGGTTGACTTTATAGTCCTGTGTTCTGAGGAAGTCAACCGAAGGCTCGTCCAGAGATACGGTCAGGACTGTACCGTTCTCTTCAGCCTTACGGTTGAGTATTTTCCACAGTTCGGAATTTAGGCAGTCATTTTGGGACTTCAGCATTCTGAGTGCCTCATCGACCGACCTTGTCTCCGAACTGGGGATGAAGGCCGTTCCAATAGCTGGTTTGGTAACGTACCATGTTAGGTTGACCTCCACGCGGTTCCCCCTGGAAACCATCGTGATAAATTCTTAGTGAATTTGTTACAATGGGCTAACTGACCTGACCTCATGCTCATCTTATCATCCTCCACTGGACAAAAAATATCTATGTATCTGTATCAGTTATCTAGTACCCATAACACAAGCTTAACTTGGATCTAGATGGCGCTGTGTGAATTGTCCTGAGATTATTATTATTATGTCAGCATGGGCTAACTGACCTCATGCTCATGTTATCATCCTCCACTGGTGTCCCGCCAGCGTAATCCGTTAGCGCAGGCGGGTGCACCATTCCATTATCATATACAAAAATAACGTTGATTAATTAACACAGCGCCATCTAGTCACAACTTAGGCAAAGCTTGTGTTATGAGATACTAGGCAACTTATATAAACACATTTTTTTGTAAATTATATGGATCCCCTACTACAATAATAATAATAATAACCCTTGACAATTTATACAGCGCCATCTAGTCCCAAGTTAACCCGAGCTTGTGTTATGGATATTAGCTATAATATATATCTAGACACGCGGTAGCGTGTCAAGCCGAGTTTCAAGTAAGAGAACTGGCGATGGTCTGTCCTGAAATGTATTTATAACAATATAAAATATCATTTCTTCTTATAACTTAGGATAATATACTGTAGCCTAAGGTCTAACTTGGCCAGTTCTCATATACGAAATATACTGTAGCCTTCGCAAGTTCTAAACATGTTACTTGTCGGTTCCTATTTTAATATTAGTAGTAACTAGCAATCGAAAGTAATAATTGGTATATGAGAACTGGCCAAGTTAAACCTTAGGCTACAGTATATTATCCTAAGTTATAAGAAGAAATGATATTTTATATTGTTATAAATACATTTCAGGAAAGACCACTGAACTTGGCATCCATTTAGATCTCACCTCTTTTGTCGTAGAAGTCAACAATCAAGGCATATATCATAATATTAAACTCGGCTATCATTTCACATTTATGTTTTTGATGGGATATATTATAATGTAAATATTTATAAAAATACCTTCAGTAGTTTTTCCGTAAAACTGTAACAAATTTTAAAATCACTAGTATCCTGACAACTTAGGCGTAATGCCGGTTAGTCAGGGAGAGAAACACCTCAATGCCTACAATATTCACAATTACCTATGCCTTATTTGTTTTTATAATAATATCAACACTTTCGCTCCAAAACTCCCGCTGCCTACGTTCAATCGTCCGTCATCCACTTGTCAATGTCACAGATTACTTTGGCTCTGGCCTCTGACGTTCCGTTTCAGGTTACATGATTATTGACTTTACCATTTTTAATTAATGGTGCGTCACACGATAGTTAACACAAACAACCAACTATCCATACTCACAAACATTCGCGTATATAATATTAGTCATTTTTTTCAGGTGCCGACGTAATGTGGGCCTTAAATCTGACATTAAGGAACGAGGGTCACGACGACTCGTACGATCCCACAGTGGACTCGTCTGTTGCCAATCACTTCGCAGCTGCCGCATTCAGATTTGCACACACTTTGCTTCCGGTAAGCCTTTACCTACGTCCCATTCGATCGATCCCCCGTCCCCCTCCGATCGATCCCCCGTCCACTTCTAACGGGGATCGATATTACGACGGCCTGAGCATAGGTTCGAACCCCTAGCGGTGCCCTCAGACTAAAGTCGTATCCGTCAGGCGGGAGTTGGCCTTCAGCCGCTCCATAAGTCTTTCGGCAGATCTCCGCCATCATTGCTAAATGATAATTATTTTATTCTAAAAGTTACTAAAGTAAGCGCAATTTTTTATATTATAATTTCTCTACCGTCCAGTTCAGTATACCGATTCAATAGAGAAGAACTGGCAAGAAACTCAATTGAATTTCTTTTCTTTTTATTAAAAGCAGTTTATTTACAATGTACATTTATATAGGTGTCTATGTCTAACATTAAATGAAAATCCCGTGCATGAACAACTATTGCCATGCACGCTCGTCATTCAAGTAATCGTTTAGTAAGTAATAGGTTTTGCTCAGTAAATATAATTTAATAGATGTTTTGAATTTATTTAAGGGTAAATCCAGTATATCCTTTGGTATCTTATTGTAATTTTTTATACCCATTCCCATAAATGACCTATTGACTAAACGATGCTTGGGGACAGCAAGTTTGTCTTTAGATCTAGTATTAATGTTATGAATGGCTGTTTTTTGGAAATAAGTGTAGATTTTTATGTACATATAGAATATTTGAGTATATAAAGTGAGAAGCAACGGTGAGAATATTTGTCTCTTTGAATTTATCTCTTAATGAGTCACGACTCACGCTCGTCGATAAAGATGGTATCTTAATTCCAGGGTCTAATACACAATGTTGACCTCAACAACGGTACTATCAGTTACGTGCAACTCCATCGGATGCTGTTCAACCCGTACGCACTGTACAGTAGCCGAGGGTCTAAATACTCTGTAAGGTCTGCCATCAACACACCAGTTCATGGAGTCGATCCTCATGTCACCACTGAGGTAAATAATAACAGTTCTAAGTTACTTTTACTAGTTTCTTTTATGATAAACAACCTAACGACCTGAGCGGGCCATCCATTTTTGTCACTCCATTTGAATAAATTAACTGCCCTCCTCCCCTCCAGTCCCCCATTCCATTAAAATGTCACGTGCAAAATCAAAGACCTTGCTCAGACACTATATGTCCCTTAGTGTCTAATATAATTTCGATGGTCCTCTAAAATAGCAAGGAACTCGACTTTTATATGTTAAACCAAAATATCCTGCTGTATGTTTGGAACCCAGATGATCGGTATATATCCTCTGTCTCTCAGACAGAAAGGTTTGGCAAAAAAACACATACAACCTTAAATTTTCACCCTTCTACGATCAACCACATTTTTTAAATAACTGATTAATATATAAAGAACAAAAAAGTAAAAGAAAAAAACGTTTGTCTGCAAAAGAACGTTTGTTTACATACATATATATATAGCTGTCCCGGCAAACGTTGTTTTGTCTTAAAATAAAATAAAATAATTTTGGGGTGGACTACCCCTAACATTTAGGGGGATGAAAAATAGATGTTGGCCGATTCTCAGACCTACTCAATACGCTCACAAAATTTCATGAGAATCGGTCAAGCCGTTTCGGAGGAGTATGGGAGCGAACACTGTGACATATATATTATGGATGATAATGGAATGATGCATCCATCTGATGCATCAATCATGCCTCTTCATCATTGCGACACATAAGTCCACCACCATTAACTTTATTTCTAATTATAAAAATTATCTCATGTATGCTATAGAAATAGAAATAGAAATAGAAATAATCTTTATTCAAATAAACTCATTACAAGCACTTTTGAATAGTCATATTTTGATTCTACCACTCATTCGGAATGCAGATTCATCACAAGAAGAATGAGCAAGAAACTTGTGTGTTGCTCTTTTTAATAGATGTTTTTTTTATATATAAATACTTACAGTATAACAAGTAAGAGGCATGCGATAATCAACATAGAAGTCGCTACGCACTCATTATTAATGTAATCAGATAATATTGTCAGTGCTATGGATTCAAAGTTTTTCTATAAAAACATTATTATCGTTAACGAATTCTTCAATTTTATAGTAAGCTTTTTTGCAAAGGAACTGTTTTATTTGACATTTAAATCTTTTTTCTGGCAGATTTATAACAGACTCTGGTATTTTATTGTAAAACCTTACGCAAATGCCATAAAACGAATTACTAACTTTAGCCAAACGACATTTAGTCAGTTAAAATCAGTTTGTTATTGTTACGTAAGCTTTTATTAGTGCAATCACTAACTCTTTTGAAACTGTGTGTTTGTAATTGTTGAATAAAGCATTTATCTATATATCTATCTATCTGCGCTAAAAATTTATGCTGACGGGGCACCAGTGATAATATGGACATGAGGTCAGATCAGTTAGCCTCTTGGCAAATGCCAATTTACATAGTTTCCGGGAAGACCGTGGAGGTCAACCTGACTTGGTACATTGCTACCAATTATATTATTAGTCCCCATGACTAACAATCCCCTTACCCCCTATATCTATATACATATATTAACACAACCTCTACTTACCTTGGTACTAGATGTCGCTGTATGAATTGTACAGGGTTATTATATCATACGCGATACAAATATAGCCTAGTGTGGAGTTATAGATAAAATGTTACTTAAGTCAAATATTCCGAAGTATATTTTATGCATATTATCAGGGATTTTAGGGAGCTCCGTAACCGAAACCGACACTATCGGATATCCGATATAAAAAAAATATCCGTAACCGTAACCGAATCCGAAATAAAAGTTTCGGACAATATCGGATTGGGGCGGAGCATAATTGAGACACGTTATGTAACCATTTTATTAGCTATTTGTATTGTACTTTACAAAAACAATATCCGTAACCAAACTTATCCGAAATTAACGGATAATCCGAAATAATTTCATATCCGCATCCGTAACCGTATCTGGTATAATAATCATTCCTATATCCGAAACCTATCCGTATCCGAAATTTCATATCCATAACATCCCTGCTTATTCTATTCGGTGATTAAATGCCAAAGGGCCACATGATGCAAACGGTAAATTTGCAGAAGAGCTCATCAAAATTTTCACTTTCCTTAAGAATCTATATGTGCTATATCTGTGTTAGTTCTAGAATCATGGGTGTCTTTTTTAATATAAAAATTATAATGATTTAGATACCATTTTTGAAAAAAAATAGATTCAGTTTTTTTGCGTTGTGGCCCTTTGGCATTTAATCAGCGTATGTTTATTTCAGCTAAGTAATCACCTATTCGAGAACCCAACGAGCAACTCCTCACAATCAAGGAAACCACTGGGTCCGTGCGGTCTGGACCTGGTCTCGCTGAACATCCAACGTGGCAGAGACCACGGTCTACCGTCTTACCCCGCGTGGCGAGAACACTGTGGTCTGTCGAGACCAACAACCTTCGCAGAGTTAGAGGGTGTTTTCAACGACGTGTCTTTGGGTAGAATCGCTACTATATACAAGTAAGTCACTCAAATTACGTGTTTGGCAGCCGATGGCATATAAAAAAACAGAAAATGCTTATAATAAATTCCATTAAATAAATTATAGTTAATATTAAATCAAAATACAATATATTTGTTCATGTAGGTCTATTACAGAATCTTATGATATGTTACATCTACCGTCATTCGAAATGATTTCGAGATAAGAAGAACTGACAGGAAACTCAATTCTGATCTTTTTCAAATATTGTTTACAATAACAGATTCATTTTTAAATTCAAATCACATAATGTAGACACATAGAAAGCACCCAGACTAATACAAATAATCATATTCTTGAACACAACTGTTTGTATCTAACTAGAAATTGAACCCGCGACGCCGTGAATTAATCTCTGGATCTACTGAACCGATTTTGAAAATTCTTTCAGTGTCCGATAGCCGTTTTTCGTGGAAGGTTATAACGCTATAACATCACGCTACAACCAATACGAGCGGAGCAGTAAAGAAAAATGTTACGAAAATGGGGAAAATATAACGCAGAGTAAAGGTTTTTTATACCACGTAGGTGGCAAACAAGCATACGGCCCATCTGATGGTAAACGATTACCGTAGCCTATGAATGACTGAAACACCAGGAGTGTCACGGGCGCGTTCCCGACCCTTAAGGAACCTTAATATACCCTTCTTGAAAAATCCCATGCTCTAGTCATGCGTCTTGAGAAAACCTCGGCAGGTAGTTCATTCCGAGTTGGGCAGGTAGTAAACAATAAACAGATTTACAAAGCAATTCGTTTGTTATAGTTCGGTGGACGACATCGACCTGTACACGGGAGCACTGGCTGAGGACCCTCACGGTAGACTGCTGGCTCCCACCCTCACCTGCCTCATCTCCGACCAGTTCCTCAGGTTGAAGATCGGAGACCGCTTCTGGTATGAGACAGTGGACGAGACCGTCGGCTTCTCTATAGGTAAAATATCTTTAAACACTAGCTGCACCCGCTACTTTGTCCGCGTGGAATTTAACTTCATTTTTCTTAAATAAAACATTTTTTCTAAAATAAAAGTAGCCTATGTTACTCCTTATTACATCAGCTACCTGCGAAAAACGTCCCGTCAAAATCGGTCCAGGCATTTCAGAGATTATCCGGAACAAACTGATAGACAGATAAAAATTGTACAAAAAATATTTTGATGTATGTACCGTATTTATATTCGTATGCATGTAGTAAAAAACAGTTATTTCAATATTATAAACACATACTCCAATTTTATTTATATGTACAGATTAAATGAAATGGTATTTCTTCGGTAGATGCTTAGAAACACGACGCTCACAATTATAATCGATTTAAATTCAATATGAAGAAAACAATCATAAACATCCGTCATACTCGAGAACACTCGTTGCTTGTAGGAACTAGTCCGTAGATACTTAGAAAAACGACCTTTATAATTATAATCGACTTAAAATCAATCTGAACAAAACAATAAAACACACAATCATAATCATTCGTCATACTCGTGAACAAGCGCTGCTTATAGGCACTATTCTGCTATAATCATTACGACTGATTTAATTTTGTTGTATATTTAATTTTTAAATTCTATTGAATTAGTGCTGGTTGGTAGTTTATATTCACACATTTCAACTTAAAAATATATTTTTTTTATTTAAAAGAGCAACAGGCAATTTTCTTGGTCGGTCTCTTGTGATAAGACAGACAGCTTTTCGAATGAGTGGCAGATAAAAAAAACTATGAATACTCAAAACTGCTTAAATTTAAGTAATCTAAATGAAGGATTTTCTATTTTATTCTACTCTACTCTACTCTGTTCTCTTCTCTACTCTATTGTATTCTTTTCTATTAATACAATGTACATAACAATACCAAATGTGTCTCTATTTATTTTTATTGTTATTTACAGATCAGCTGACAGAGATACGTAAGACAACCCTAGCCGGCATCATCTGCGCCAACGAAGGTCTCCTGGAGCAGGCCCAGCCCAGGGTCATGGAGGAGGTCGGCCCCAACAACCCTTTAGTTGACTGCACGGAACTTCCACAACCCTCATTCAGTCCCTGGAGACAGGTTGATAAATAGGCAGTGTAAATATTTTGTTAGTTATAAGAGTTTCTTTTTCATTAAAATAAATAATTATCGATACGCATGTTCAGCTGTAAAAGAAACTGACTCCAGTCCCATTTTTAAAGATAATACAGAAACTATAGGTCGGATCTCGAAACTGAATTAGAAGGATTAGCTTTCTAATAAAAAATGAAACATCAAAATCGGAGGTCGTATTGAAACTACTACTAAACATAAGGTTTTTAATAAAAAAAGAACCATCAAAATTGGTTGACATAGAAACAAGGTCTGATGTAACATAAAGAACGCAAACAAATTAATAGCCATCTTCATTGCTGGAAATCGGTGATATAAATAACTTCTAGTCTGTAAGATGAAACAAACACAATTTCAGTTTGACTCCAATTGGTTTATTATCAGATAATAATTATTCAAAATTATCGTATTACTATTAAATCTTATATTTTCGACTAAGTATATATTCAATACAAAGTTACAAAGGACGAAGCTACCACCGTCAACAAAATAACAATAACACCTAATTTATATATACATTAGGTGCCATGTCAGTCATGTGTCTCACGCTAAGAAGTTTTACATGAGCCATGTCAGACACATATGGTAGAATATGGTATGGACATTTGGTAGAAGGCCACGACGATCACAGATGTCCGACGCAAACGATACATTTGCATTATGTTTCAAAAGCTTGGCCTATCAGGAACAAAACCTGAAAATTTCTTGGCTTACAATTGACACGTCTTGTCGAGAAAAAAAGTTTTAATATACAGCTATGTCAGTCATATATGTGTGACTTAAAAAAAGTGTTTTTCCGGGCATTTTGGCAAAAAAAAAATTCTGTGATACATTAAGTTTCCTTGATACATTTTTAACTAAATTATCTAATAAAGTTACCTTGGCCCGTGTGAAAATTTTTCTGATATTATCCTAGCGAGTTAAAATAAATGAAATTTCTACAAGAAATAGATTATTGGATTGAAGTTTATGTGTAGTATCGCAGAATATTTCTTATTTACTCTCTTTGAGAATTTAGTCGTAATTTGTAATTTATATTTAGGCCTATCTATTATGTAAGTTCCTATTATATGTACAAAGTAAACTATATACTAATTTTCTCTCATTGTATCATTTATACCTAACAAATATAAGAAATATTCTTCTATTAAAATTATGTAAGTTTAACGAATGAATTAATATAATTTACTTGATAGCAATATCGTTTTATTTTAAATATTTTAAAGGAGTAAAAAACATCATCATCTGCTTCTTCCTTATCTCATTTATTTGTGGTCGTCGTAATATATTTTTCTCTTCCATTCATCCCTGTTCGCAGTCAACTGTTATTTACTCTCTTTCTTGCCATATCATCTTTCACACAGTCCATCCATCTCTTTTTCGGTCTTGCTCTGGCCTTATTAACCATCCACAATTATATGTAACACCTTCCTTAAGATATGATCTTCATTCCTACACATTACATACCCGTGTAAAGGAGTACAGATTTCTATCGAATATTGGTACGATGGCGTAAATTAGGGGTTAAATACAGAAAGCAGAGACCCATTTAATAATAATAACAATCCTTGCACAATTCACACAACACCGTCTAGTCCCACGGTAAGCAGCTTCTATTATTGGTACTAGACAACTGATATAAATACTTAGATATTTTTTTAGTAAATACAGACGTAATATTAAAAAAAAACGTAAAACACCCAGATACAAACAATTACACTCTTGAATACAAATGTTTATAATGTGCATGAAATGGAACCCGCGACAGATGGTTGCAGTAAACCGCTAGACCACCGAGGCCGTCAATACATGGAATTAAAACTATTTTGTATAAACTCATTGAGCTTCCTCTCGCGTACACTTAGATTGTGGAATGAACTATCTGCCGAGGTTTTCTCGAGATACTAGGTACTGCACGGGTTTTTTCAAGGTTTTATTATAAGGTATCTTAAGGATTGCAATCCAACGCGCACGGACACGGCACGGTTGCCTGAGACACCAGGGATATCACCCCTGATGTCTCAGGCGTCCATGGTCAACGGTAACCATTTACCATCAGATGGGCCGTATACTTGTTTGGTGCTATAGTGGTATAAAATTAAAACAAAAGCGCCTTTAGTTATTACAATAGCAATATTTCTATCATGTAAATTATTGTCTTCTCTTATTTACTGTGTAGAGTTGTAGACAAATCATAGGAGCTGTAAGCCTGTAAAGGCTCTTTCTTCATTTCTACGAAGATAAATTATCAGCTTACTATTGCAAAATACATTAAAGTATACAAGACTAACTTTTTTTGTAAATACATACTTAATATGCCTATACATACAACACCATACAAACTCAGATTGTTTGTATATAGATAGTATATGGAATTAACAGCATAAATAACACATATAAAAAAGTATGTATAATAAAGTAACAATGAAAAGCACACTTTTTTATTTTCCCGCGCAAAACGTAATGCGCCACAGATACACAATATTGCACGGCGCGGCGCGCACCCGCAGTTGGATGACGATCGCGTCATAGCTGTATGCAATTTTAATATGTTGCAGCTATATATTATATTTTGTGTATATTATTATTATTAGTATATATATTTATTTTCATATATATGAAAGTATCCGCAAAATACCAGCGTTGTGGCACCTCATCACGTCTCGTCACGGCATATGTTGAGCGGAGACCTATTTGGTACCACAATTAATGATACAAAATATATTTTTTTTTGTATTTTCATGCGAATCAAATAAACATATTTTCTTTCTTTCGATGTAAATTTGATAATAGGTATAAATATTATTAAATTTGTAATAAATTTTAGAATCAGACTTAGATCTCTTAGCATTTAAATATTTTATTTAAAGAAAGTCCTATTAAGCTTATTAATAATGTAGTTACCATGGCACTATTCTCATAGCAGAAGGTCTGCTCCATCAAGCATGGAGTGGCGTCCATAGATGAGACCCTGGGTGAGGTCATCGTACTATGTAATGGGCCCACCTACGTAAATAAATATATCACTGGCTTCCTATATCGAGAAATTATAAAAACAATATTATTGGAGCTTAGACACTTAATAGAAATAATCTTTATTCAAATAAACTTAATATAGGCACTTTTGAATTATCATATTTTTGTTCTAACACAGATCGCAGACTCATTTCAAGAAGTTATAGGCTCATATAATAATAATACTAGTTACTCGCCCCGAGAACGACGATTGTTTGTATCTGTCTGGGTGTTTCTAGGTAGTAATTTACAAAAAAAATCTAAGCATTTTTCAGTTGTCTAGTACCCATAAAACAAGCTGTTCTTACCGTGGAACTAGGTGGCGCTGTGTTAATTGTCCAGGGTTTTGTGTTATTCATTTTCTTCTCGATTTTCACCAGTATTAATGCTATGAGAAGATGATCATTATTATATTTTGTGCCTTCCATACAAATGACGAATTTATAGTATCAATTTAATATAAAAAAATTCTAACTTCTAATATACTCCTCAGTGACAGTCGTTCAGTTTTATGAATATTAACACCGACTTAGCATAAATATTGTCTTATCTATGGCATAATTATACCATGACTAACTGTACGAACACAAAAAAAACGTATGAACCGTCTGCCACAATCTTCGGACATCGATTTAGCTTTTATCATACCTCCTATTTTTAGTCGATTAAAAATAACTAGATAAGCAAACAAATTATGAATCTTGCAAAATGTAAATAAAAAACATTCTAAAACAACGTGCCTACGTGAAATATGTGCTTCAACCTATATACAGAACGTACATTGTCTATGGTTCTGTTTTCTCTTTTTTCATATTCTCTATGGTTTCAACAACATTTTTTTTTAAATATAATGCTTACTTAATACAGGTTGACGTTACTAAGAACGTATTATTAATTACCTTTTAGCAGCTTGAAAAATTGCAAAATATTTTTTCATGAATTTCTGTTCTTATTTTCTTTACAATTATTTTTCAGCGCAACATTCTTTCATGCAATTGTAATGCATAAATTGATTAGTAAAGTTTTGTCCGCATATGCAAACATGAGTTTTGTAACTGTTCGTATACAAAACCTTAGTTTTCTAAACCTTTTCATGCATACAATTTTGATTCAATCTTCATAAGAACAATTATGTTTGTTTATGTGTGTAACTGATTATGAAGTCAACACGGAGCTAACCTGCTCACTATTGTGCTAAGCTCCTAAATAAATTAAGAAAAAAAAACATTATGTTTATAAGAGTTGACGCTCTTACTAAAATTACAGTGAATTGTTCTGTGACATAATAAAAAAAAAAAATATTAAACTGTATACTCTGTTTAAATTACTGTGAATTGTTCGGTGACATAATAAAAAAAATTGTAAATATTAAATTGTATAATCTGTTTAAATTACTGTTAATGGTTCTGTGATATAATAAAAAAAACATTTGTAAATTCAAAGTTGTATAATCTGTTTGATAATTGCAATCGTAAAACTTATGTATATTAGTACTGTCGACGAACCCATACATGTATGAGTCACTGATGTATTAACATTGTTATTTGGGTGGCTGTAGGAGGCCGACGGCCTTGCGTTTTCAAACAGACCTATATAATAATCATCTCTACACACACTACCTAGAATCTACAATTGAGCTATTTTGAACCTTATTCGTCTCGCAATAAGGGTTCATTGGTAAATTAGTGAGCGCAGGAACAGACTTGCATGCTGAATGTGTCTGATGTCAGGACCTGTTAGCGTATCCTATGCGAAGCTAAGAAACCTTGATTTTTAACAAGTCGTCCTTTCGATATACGAATTGTGTAATATATGTATTACATTCTTATTGACCGAAACGTACTTCCGTACCCTGTACCTAATTTTACTGCCATATGTCATCCTTCTACTTAATAATAATAATGTCGGGATAATTTACAAAACGCCATCTAGACTCAAAGTAAGCTAGCTAAAGCTTGTGATTTGGGTACTAGATAACTCATACAAATACATAGATATATTATTTTTTC